GGGGGGGGGGTTTTGAAACCTGGGGGGATGCCAACGGGGCCTTTTAATTAAAAAAAAAAAAAAAAAAAAAAAGGTAAACTTATACGTTGAAACACTCAATACCACAAAGTTTACTAAGAGCAAAGCTATACCCAAACGGGTGCACTAGTACACTCACAAGGGGTGTTGCGACCACACAGGGAGAATGCAATAGTGCATCCCGAGCGGGTCGCATACTTTCTTAGCTTGATTAACTTAAAATCTAAGGCCACGTATATTATGTGGCTAAAAAAGGTAAACTTATACGTTGAAACACTCAATACCACAAAGTTTACTAAGAGCAAAGCTATACCCAAACGGGTGCACTAGTACACTCACAAGGGGTGTTGCGACCACACAGGGAGAATGCAATAGTGCATCCCGAGCGGGTCGCATACTTTCTTAGCTTGATTAACTTAAAATCTAAGGCCACGTATATTATGTGGCTTTGCTAAACCAGAATTTAATTCCATGCAGCCCACAAATTGCTCGAAGCTCAAGTCCTACATTAACCTTTTTTTATTGTCCGTGACGAAATCCTTTCCTCCAAGTTGAAGCACAGGAAAACATTATAAATAGAATTGCATGGTAACCAAGTGCATAGACTGCTTGCATTGTGCCATTTCAGGGCAATGAATCCCTACTTAGTCACCGGACCTGATTTGGAACATGACAAAACTTGTTCCTTACCCTTTGAAAGGAACACAGATCAATTTCTATTCCAGACCTTGCATTATATGACTCTGATATCATTTACAAGTTACAGAGAAAAACTTAAAAGGAACTATAAATCCAATAAAGTAGTAAGCACTATGCATATGTATCCAAAGCATTGGTGAATATTTCAAATTAAGAAGGCAGAAGAAGTACCTCACTACCTGTAAGTTGTGCTTGTAGAGATGCAAAGCTAGTGATGGTACTTTTGTCCTTTCAGAATGGTCCATGACCTGAAGTGAAACAAAAAAATCATGTGTATGTGTTAAGCTAAACTAATTCAATGAAGGGAAAAAAATGTAAAAAAAAACATGACAAGTCTGTTTATTTTTGCTAGAAAAAGCATGGGTTGTAAGAGGCTCCGTGGGTTGTAAAGAAAAATGCAACGTAATTTCTTTTCCAGCCACAAACATCAAACTTATTTCACAACCCAACCCCAGAAATACTATGCAGCACAGCTGTAAAGCATCCCTACAATCAGCTGGCTGTAGGTAGTAAAAGAAAACTGCCGACCTGTAGAAATTCATCAACTTCCAGTTTAAGCAACTTCAAGCTTGAGAACTCATTCCAATAGAGATAATCCAGATATATATATATATATATTTCCACATTTAACAGAATATCCTAAAGTACTTAATATTCTGCCAATCCCACACACTTCAATGACCAAAATAGTGCTGAAAATTGGGGCCGGCCTAGACGGGCCCGAAGCCCATTACTGTGGGACCGGCCCGAATCCGTACAAGCCCGAGCCCGGTCCTAGTGTAGGGCCGGGCTAGGCGGTAATTCCAGGCCCGCAGGCGGCCCGAGACCAGCCCGGAGAGCCCGGCCCGAAAACAGCCCGGTCCAAGCCGGGCCCGAATGGTTAAGGAGCAGCAGACAATTGGGCTGTTTTCAGCCTGCAGCCCAAAGGCCAAGCCTAAATTTTTATTTTTTCTTGATTGTTTACTTGTTTTTGGCCCAACAGTAATATTACCGTTGGGCTGCCTCACGACAGTGAGTCTGAAGCAGAGGGCTGCAGCCCTCTGCTATCCCCCCCCCCCCAAAATCCCTAAATTTTAAATACCCCCTACATTAAACCATTTTTTTCACGCAACACAACTTTCACTCTCTCTATTCTCTTCTTATTCTCCAATTTTTTCTCAACTCTCACTCACATTAATTCTCTCAATTTTGTTATTTCATTTTTGTTTGAAAAAAAAAAGTTGGTGATTCTCTAATCTCTACTTCAATTTTCAAGTCACAATTCCATTATCCATATCAAGTAATCAAGGTATTGATAAATTTTAGAATTATAAATATTTTAATTTTTTTATATTTAATTTATTGTGAATATTTAATTTTTAGTGTTAGCATGTATTAATATGTTTTTTGTTGTTATTATTAGTGTAAGAAATAGAAAATGAAACCAAATATGTATAGGTATGGTTTTGATGGTGTTGACTACTATGGAATGGATGATCAAGACATTGATGAAGCAACAATTCAACGAATGGAGGCGGGTGACCAAGTAGGTGACACGTCACAAAATATCAATATTCAACCGAATCAACCCTCAGAAATGCCGACGGGCTCAAGTGGTTCAACATCATCAACGACAACAAAACATGCGAGACAAATGTGCAAAATGTTAGAAATACTTCACTACACAAGAGAAAATTGACGCTGGAGGTAAGAAAATAAAATTAGCTACATGTATATATTATAAAAAAGTTTTGTCTGCAAATTTTACAAGTGAAACTCGACACTTGAGAGATCACAGAGTTAAATGCGCTAGACTACATTAAGCCAGGATGGAGCCTACACAAACTCAACTTCAATTAAACCCGGATGGTTCGGTAAGTACCTGGTCCTATAATCCTCATGTTGCTAAGGAATCTTTATGTCAATTTATTTCTGTTTTAGATTTACCTATTAACCTTGGTGATAACCCACACTATGAAGCACATATTGTCCTCAATTTCAAAAAGTTTCTAGAACTACTACTAGGAATGATATGATTGCATACTATGAGAAAATGCGTCTTGCATTAATAGCTGAAATAGGTGCATTAAATTTTTCAATTGCATTAACCTCTGATATTTGGAGTAATAGGGTGAATCAAGATTATTTGAGCGTAGTTGCACATTATTTAGACTCTAAATGAAATATGCAAAAAAGAATTATTGATTTTAGATTTATTGATTGTTCACATAATGCTGACAATATTGTTGAGAGACTTGTTAGTGTTATTCAAGATTTTGGTATACGAGACCGCATTATCTCTATCACCTTAGATAATGTTACAGCTAATACAAGGGCGATATCAATGTTGGATGGACTTATAAACTCGGATAGTGGTGGAGTTTTACTTGATCAAATGTGTGCATGCCATATAATTAACCTCATTGTCAAATCATGTATGCGTATGATAAGTTTTACAATTGATAATATTCGAAATATCATTTCTTAGATTCATAATTCAAACCCCTGCATTGCTGAGTTTAAGAGGTATTGGAAAGCATAAGGTATGAAGCCTAGAAAGTTTGGTCTTGACATGTCTGTTAGGTGGAATCAACATATATGATGTTGAAGAGTACTTTGCCATATAAAAATATTATCACAATTTTTGTCAATACAAAAATGTGCAAAACAATATTGCAGGAAGATGACTGGTTTATTTGCGAGCGATTTGTGTCTTTTTTGGAGGTTTTTTATGATTCTACTATTTTATTATCCTACTTCTCCATTAGTGTTGCATTAAATTTGTGAGATTACAGACTTATTTGAAACATATAAAAATGATATGTTATTTAAACCGATGGTAAAAAAATGGAAGCAAAGTTTATGAAATATTAGTCTGAAATTCCTCTGTTGTATTGTTTAGCTATTATTTTGGATCTTAGAATAAAATTATCCGGTCTTGGAAATGTTCTTTCTCATATCGGTGGCCAGTTGGACATAGATTATACTTCACAGGTTGTTGACACACATGAGAAGTTGTTTTTGATTTATGCAATTTACGAGAACAAGTTCGGTAACTTGACAACTCAACAAACGCAACAAGATCAGCCAGCCCGCTCAAAAAAGAAGTTTTGAAATTTTATATCTTCTCATCGTGGTGGCTCTAGTTTGTCATCAAATGCGAGTGTCATGTCACCACCATCAACACCAACGACGACACAATATAGGGAGCTCAACATATACCCTGAGATAGAATTCTCGGTGATAGACGGTGCTAATAATGATGACAATTTCTAAATTTTGGCATGGTGGAGGCTACAAGGTGTAATATTTCCAGTACTCTCAATATTAGCACGTGATATCTTGACAATTCCAGTATCAACGGTGTCTTTAGAATCTGTGTTTAGCACAACTGGGAAGATAATTGAATAAAGGACTTCATTGACTCTAGAAATGGTTGAGGTGCTCATATGTCTAAAAGATTAAGAAAATGCTTCTTTGCGAATGCAACACCCAGCCGAACACAGAGATTTAATGGATCAATTTCAAAACTTATATATTGACGATGACACTTCTGATGTCGGAAGTAATGTAGCAGGCAGTTAGATATTTTTGTCTCTTAAATATTTATAAATTGTAACTATGAAAATAATACTGCACTATTTTTTACTTACTAAGGTTTTATCCCAATAGATTTTTTTTGGTAACGTTTTTAGTGAGCTAGTTATAATTATATAAATAAAGTTTTATTCCATTAAAATTTTAGAATATTCACTATTTATTATAAATTTCGCTATCTTTTTTCAATTTTTTGTAAATTATGCTCAGGCCGGGCCGAGACGATTCGGACCGGCCCGACCCGTAATAGTCCAGCTCAGCCCTAGGCCCGTCGGACCTTAGGGAAGAGCTAGGCCCATAGCTGAAAATTCGGGCCGCCCGGCCTGAGCCCGGCGGCCCAAAAGGGTAGTTAGGGCCAGCCTGGCCCGGCCTGTAGTTTTAATGGGGCCGGGCCGGGCTATTGCGTGCCAAGCCGGCCCCAATCGGCTCGGTCCGGCCCGAGCATGATTTATAAAAATTTAAAAAAAGATAACGCAATTTATAGTAAATAGTGAATATTATAAAATAATAATAGAACAAGACTTTATTTATGTAATTATAACTGCCTCATTAAAAACTTTATCAAGAAAAACCCATTGGGATAAAACCTTTGTAAGAAAAAAAGAGTGCAGTATTATTTTCACAATTACAATTTATATATACTTAACAAACAAAAATATATAATTGTCTGCTAAACTACTCCCGGCATCAGAAGCGTCATCATCAATGTATAAGTTTTGAAATTGATCCATTAAATCTCTGTCTTCGGCTGTGTGTTGCATTCGCAATGAAGTATTTTTCCAATTTTTTAGACATATTAGCACCTTAACCATTTCTGGAGTCAACGAAATCCTTCTTTCTTCAATTATCCTCCCAGCTGTGCTAAAGGCAAATTCTGAAGACACCGTTAATACTGGAATAGTCAAGATATCACGTACTAATATTGAAAGTACTAGAAATCTTACACCTTGTAGCCTCCACCATGCTAAAATTTAAAAATTATCATCATTATCAAGACCATCTATCACCGAGAATTATGTCTCAAGGTATCTGTTGAGCTCTCTATATTGTGTCGTCGTTGGTGTTGATAGTGGTGCCATGACATTGGCAGTTGATGACGAACTAGAGCCACCACGATGAAAAGATATAAAATTCCAAAACTTCTTTTTTTAGCGGGCCGGCTGATCTTGTTGCGTTTGTTGAGTTGTCAAGTTACCGAACTTGTTCTCGTAAATTGCATAAATTTCAAACAACTTCTCATGTGTGTCAACAACCTGTAAAGTATAATCTATATCCAACTGAACACCGATATGAGAAAGAACATTTCCAAGACCGGCTAATTTTACTCTAGGATCCAAAATAATAGCTAAACAATACAACAGAGAAATTTCAGCCCAATATTTCCTAAACTTTGCTTCCATTTTTTCTACCATCGGTTTAAATAACATATCATTTCTATACATTTCAAATAAGTCTGTAATCTCACAAATTTGATGCAACACTAATGGAGAAGTAGGATAATAAATACCAGATAATAAAACAGTAGAATCATAAAAAAAAAAACCTCTAAAAAAGACACAAATTGTTCGCAAATAAACCTGTTATCTTCCTGCAACATTGTTTTGCCCATTTTTGTATTGAAAAAAATAGCTATAATATTTTTATATGGCAAAGTACTCTTCAACATCAAATATGTTGAATTCCACCTAACAGGCATATCAAGACCAAACTTTCTAGGCTTCATACATTCTGCTTTACAATACCTCTTAAACTCAACAATGCGGGGGTTTGAATTATGAATCCAAGAAATGGCATTTCAAATATTATCAATTGTAGAACTTACCATACGCATACCTGATTTGACAATGAGATTAATTATATGGCATGCACACCTTTAATCAAGTAAAACTCGCCACTACACGAGTTTATAAGCCCTCCAACATTGATATCGCCCTTGCATTAATTGTAGCATTATCTAAGGTGATAGAGATAATGCAGTCTCGTATACCAAAGTCTTGAATAACACTAACAAGTCTCTCAACAATATTGTCAGCATTATGTGAACAATCAATAAGTCTAAAATCAATAATTCTTTTTTACATATTCCATTTAGAGTCTAAATAATGTGCAACTACACTCAAATAATCTTAATTCGCCCTATCACTCCAAATATCAGAGGTTAATGCAATTGAAAAATTTAATGCACCCATTTAAACTATTAATGCAAGAAGCATTTTCTCATAGTATGCAATCATATCACTCCTAGTAGTAGTTCTAGAAACTTTTTGAAATTGAGGACAATATGCACGTTGAATATGCGCTTCATAATGTGGGTTATCACCAAGGTTAATAGGTAAATTTAAAGCAGAAATAAATCGACATAAAGATTCCCTAACAACTTGAGGATTATAAGACCAAGTACTTACCGAACCATCCGGGTTTAATTGAAGTTGAGTTTGTGTAGGCTCCGTCCCGGCTTGATGTAGTCTAGCGCATTTAACTCCGTGATCTCTCAAGTGTCGAGTTCCACTTGTAGAATTTACGGTCAAAACTTTTTTACAATATATACATGTAGCTAATTTTATTTTCTTACCGCCAGCGTTAATTTTCTCTTGTGTAGTGAAGTATTTTTAACATTTTGCATGTTGTCTCGCATGGTTTGTTGTCGTTGATGAGGTTGAACCACTTGAGCCCGTCGACATATCTGAGGGTTGATTCGGTTGAATATTTGATATTTTGTGGCATGTCACCTACTTGGTCACCCGCCTCCATTCGTTGAATTGTTGCTTCTTCAATGTCTTGATTATCCATTCCATAGTAGTCAACACCATCAAGATCATACCTATACATATTTGGTTCCATTTTCTATTTCCTACAATAATAATAACAACAATAAACATATTAATACATGCTAACACTAAAAATTAAATATTTACAATAAATTAGATATAAAAAAATTAAAACATTTATAATTCTAAAATTTATCAATAACTTATATATTTGATATGGATAATAGAATTGTGACTTGAAAATTGAAGTAGAGTCTAGAGTAGAGATTAGATAATCACCAACTTTTTTTTTCGAACAAAAATGAAATAACAAAATTGAGAGAATTAATGTGAGTGAGAATTGAGAGTTGAGAAAAAATTGGAGAATAAGAAGAGAATAGAGAAAGTGAAAGTTGTGTTGTGTGAAAAAAATGGGTTAATGGATGGGGTATTTATAAATAAAATTTAGGAATTTTGGGGAGGAAAAAAAATAGCAGAGGGCCTACAGCCCTCTGCTTCAGACTCAATGTCGTGAGGCAGTGAGTCAGCCCAACGGTAATATTACCGTTGGGCCAAAAACAAGTAAACAACCAAGAAAAAAAAAATTAGACTTGCCCTTTGGGCTGCAGGCTGCAGGCTGCCCAACAGTGTGGCTGCAGGCCTGCAACACGGTCTGTTACTCCTTAACCATTCGGGCCCGGGCCGGGCTTTTCGAGCCCTCCGGGCCGGGCTCGGGCCGCCTGCGGGGCCTGGAATTACCACCCAGCCCGGCCCTAAACTAGGGCTGGGCCGGGCTCGTGCTTGTACGGATTCGGGCCGGGCTCGGGCTTGTACGGATTCGGGCTAGCCCAGTCCCCGGGCCCACAGTAACGGGCTTCGGGCCGGTCCGGCCTAAATTTTCAGCACTAGCAGGGCCTATATAAAATTATTTAAGGCCGGCCCGGCCCTAACTACCATTTCGGGCCGGGCCGGGCGGCCCCAAATTTTTAGCTCTAGACCAAAACAACATTACGTAGGGCGATTTTGATTGGAAAAGTGCAAGTTTGTACCTGTACAGTTGTTCAACAAGCACAAGTAAAGCAATTTGATGATTAAAGACCAAAGATGACAACTTAATACATAAGTTAGCACGTTCCCGCAGTTTCCGTCCATGACCATAAGGTCCACCAATGCAAAAGGATAATCCTGCAGCACCCTGTAAAAGAAAAAGAAGTTTGAATCCGTTAAAAAACCTTCAAATTAAAGTATTTCACATTGAAAAAATAAAATCATCTGAAAATGAAGCAGTTTGTACCGTATTCCCAGCATCCCCCAATAAATCAGCCATCTGCTCAGATCCTATGTCTTGGCCACGCTCATCCAACAGCACAACCTGCAAATGCATGATTACGAATTGGATATGTAATTTTGAGCCAAAAAAAAAAAAAAAGGGAATTGGATATGTAGCAACAATCTTCTATTATCCTTAAAATAAAAAAAAATAAAAAAATCAGCTGCTACTAGACTACAAGTATCAATTTACAATATATATATATATAATAAAATTTTAAAAAAAAAAAGAACAGTGGCAAAAAAGGGGACTTTTTCATCCAACAGCACAACCTACAAATGCATGATTACGAATTGGATATGTAATTTTGAGCCAAAAAAAAAAAGGAATTGGATATGTAGCAACAATCTTCTATTATCCTTGAATTAAATAATAATTAAAAAAAACTCCTACTAGACTACAAGTATCAATTTACAAAAAAGAAATTAATATTAAACAAAATAAAATAAGAAGAACAGTGGTAAAAAAGGGGACTTTTTCGAAAAACAAAAACGAGAGAATATTTTTTGCCTTAAGGAACTGCAACTTACTATTCAACTTTCTTTCTTTCTTTTCTTTTTTTTTCCCCCCCTTTGGGGTGGGATGGGGTGGGGGGTTCTCTATAAGTGATCATAATAGGATGTTACGAACATAATCAGTTGATAAAGAACAATTGAATCCTCATGAAATAAAACCAAATTATTATTACCCAATCACTCGACCTGATAAGATTCATGACAGCATTGTCTTCATCCTCAACCTGAACCTTCCGGTCACTACAAAAGCACAAAATTTAATCACCAGATCAATTCACCATCCCCAAACACAATAAACCCTAAAAATCCACAACACTCAAATTCTGTTCGGCACACCCTAATAGACAAATAATAGGGCTTTTGCACCTTTGCCCCTTCAACTTTGATTGAATTTGGTTCTCGTTTATTTTACCGATTTGAATTTTCAATTCCAATTTTGCCACAATTAAAAACTCTCATAAAAAGTCACATCTAACTTTTTTTACTACAGTTAAAAACTCTCCTATAAAATCACATCTCAACCTGAATTGAAAACTCGAATCAGCAAACTGAACAATGCCTAAAATGTCACAATGAGGGTTAAAATTTGGAAGCAGCGGCCCTCATGCAAAGGACAAGTAAAGAATTTGCTAAGTTGACTGCCCTACAAAGTGAAATTAGCAAAATGACCACCTTTAAATTTTGCACAAAATGATTTTCTTTAGTTTTTACACCGCGCAGACCATTCTGGTCACACAGTGTAGGTAGTTTTGAAGTCATTTTGTAAATTAAAATTTTTTTTAAAAGTTACTCTACTGATGAAGCTTTCTTATTACATCATTTTTATAAAGAGCTTAAGATAGTTCCAGTCCTTATCCGAAATTTCCGTTTCTTCCTTGCACAAGAGTTTTTCTATCTAAATTTTAACTTGGGTCCATAAGCAACACTTTGCTAATTCGGGGGCAATTTGTCAAAATCAAGAATTTGGTGCGAAGTCATCAGTCGCAAAATATTTAGTACACAATATAACACAATAAAGTGAAGAAATACCGTGCATTTTTAGGATTGGACCGTATCTGAACGTCATCGACAGTGCAATAAAGCTTGAGTTTTTCGATATACTCATTGAAAACGAATTGTACTCCTTGCGATCTCTTCTTCCCGACCCATAATATGCGTATCGGAAGCGATCTCTGCCCAAATTCATCAAAATGCCTCAAACTTTCCCCCACAAAGTCACAAATTTCAATAGAGGAAAAGATCTGCAAAACCTAAATGAGAGCAAAAGTAAGATAGTTTTTCACCACTGATTGGCCTGCGTATTTGCAAGGTATGCCTGAAATTTTGTGAAGAAGAAGATTAGGATTTGAGAAGGATGGTGAATTGAGAAGGGCGAATACATAACCGAGGTCTGAGAAGAGTAGGAACCTGAAGAAGATGGTGAAGAATTTGGGCGAAAACTGGCAGTGACAGAGATAGCCATTTTACCAGTGATAATAGAGAAGAAGCGACAATGTCGCTTTTTTTTTGTTTCTTGGTTGTTTGAGTGCAGCGATAAATAATGGCGCTTTGGGTTCGGGCTTGGACAAAAGCTTTGGCAGCGAGTTTTTTTTTTATTTTTTTTATTTTGGCAAATGGATGAAAGAGATTTAAGTCGCGTTTGAAATTAATCTTATTTTTATTTTTTATATTTTTAAAAAAAATAAAAAATATTTTTAAAACGGTATTTGACGTAATAAATATATAAAATATAAATGAAAATAATTTTTTTATTTAGTATAAAATGAGAGAAAAATAAAAAATAATTTTTAATTATTTTTTATTTTTTATTTTTATTTTCTCATCTCTCGAGCACAGAGAGAGAAAGAGAGATATTAATGGATTTTTTTAGACTGAAAATAATCTATTGATAAAACTACCAGATGCATTTTCAAAAATGATTTATATTTAAGATTAAAAACGTTTTCATTTTCGTTTTCATTTTCATATAAAAAATAAAATTATTTTAAAATAAGTTCCAAACGCCCCCTTAACTTTGAATGTTTTTAAGATAATAAATATAAGAGGAAACTAGAAGACCATTATTTTTTATTATCTTATTATTTATGTTATTAAAAATATTTAGACAAATTTTACAATTCTCTCTGAACTTTGTCATTTGTGTTAAAATGTCTCCTAAACTTTATCATTTATGTTAATATGCTCCATGAGGTTAACTCCGTTAAGTTGTTTAACAAAAATGCTTATAAACACATATTGAACTTTGTCACTTGTGTCAATATACCCCATGAACTTTAAAATGTACATGTTTTACCCCTCTAAGTATGATATGTCTCTAATTTTTCTCCCTCCATCTTGATTCTATCAATTTTTAGAACGAAAATCTTAATATAACCACTTAAATTGCTAATTATTTATGATGTTTCTCCATTAAAGTTTGTTAAGTTAATGAGTTTCTTAAAATTTGTGTTGATTTTTTTTAAAGGTACAATAACATAAATGACCTCAACGCATTTAGATTTAGAAATTCTATATATGTATAAAGCATAAACATATTTTATGTCAAGCACTTTTATTTAGATGAAATATTAAGGAAAAAAATCATTACATTATACAGATTTGTTTCCCATTTTTCCTCTTTGTTGCCTCTAATCAACTAATGTTTTGAGAATTAGTGCTTAACTAACATTTTTTTGAGGAGCAGGTATTCAATAAACCTCAATTATCATAGATAATTAGCAATTTAATGTTCATATTAACATTTTTGCTCAAAAAATTAATAGAATCAAGATGAAAAGGAAAAAGTTAGAAACATATCGTATTTCGGAGGGCAAAACAATTATATTTTAAAGTTTATGGGGCATATTGACATGAGTGACAAAGTTCATAGAGCATTTATAAGCGTTTCCGTTAAAAAACTTAATAGAGTTAACCTCATGGAGCATGTTGACACAAATAACAAAGTTTATGAAAAATTTATAAAATTTGTCCAAAATATTTTTAAAGAATACGAAAAAATCCGTTAAGAAAAGAATCTTATAGACTATGAAAATGTATTCTACCAGAATATTAATACGATGTAAATAAAAAATTTAGAATTAATGGTAAAAATAAAATAGATTTTTTTAAAGGCATTCTTGAAAATTTCTCTAAATATAAATATTGTGTAACAATTAAGTTTCATATTTTAGTAAAGATTTACAATTAAAAAAGTACGTGTTCCATTTAAAAATAGTAAGAGTAAACTGTATGATTACGAATTGAATATGTAATTTTCAGTAAAAAAACGCATATGTAACAATAACATCTATTATCCTTGAATTAAAAAAAAAATTATGTTCGGCCTCACGCGAAGTAAAAAAATGAATTGAATTGAATAGTAAAAAAAATCTTCTATTATCCTTGAATTAAAAAAAGCGTGGTTTTCAAAGAGAGTTTTGAGAAATAAATGGCTCGTTTAGTTCGCTGATTCGAATTTTTAATTTGAATTGATATGTAATTTTATGTGAGAGTTTTTTACTATAATAAAAAAGTTAGATGTGACTGCTTTTGAGAATTTTTTACTGTAAAAAAATTAAAATTCTAAACTCGAATGAGTGAAATAAACATGACCAAAAGATATTTCATTTTTATTGTTAAAGTGAAAATTAGTATCATAAGTTGTACAAAAAAGATACTCTTATGAGAGCATTATGCGATTATGAATTGAAAAAAATTGGGAGAAATTTGTGAAATAAAGCATGTTTTTGTTATTTATATAAATAATTGGGTGAGAAATTGTATTTCAATAAAAATAGGATTGTTTTTGTAATTATATTTCACTTTTTAAGCTACAATTAGGTGCGCACAAGACCACACAGACCCTCATTGACATTCAATTTGAGCCTTTAAGCATCCGTTTGGTAAGGAGATTCGAACCATGATTTGAATCACGGTTCATGATTCGCTACAATGTTTTATCTCACAAAAAATACACGTAAATTGATAATAATTCTGAATCATGATTCTAAATTCATGAACAAAACGTCTCATTTACACTCCACTGATCGAAAAAAGTAAAGACCCTTACCAAAGACATGTCCCTAAATTGAAAGTGAATGAATGATTTTTTTTTTTTAAGAAAATTTCTCCAGTAAGACTTATAGTTTTTTCTAGTCGTTTTTAACTATTAAATTTATATCATAAATTATTTGTTATACATATTTTTTAAAAAATTTTGATTAAATTTAATGGTCATATACATATTTTTTAAAAATTTTGACTAAATTTAACGGTCGTAAAAATAATCTTATCAATATGACGGTCTACTCAAAAAAATTTCTTTATTTTTAAATTTTTTTTTGTTCCAACAAATAAAAAGCAAGCGATAAATTCATGGTATATTTAGAATAATGAGACATTTAATTTATGAATTAGAATCATAAAATTAAAATTATTTTTAATTTACATGTATTTTTTATAAAAAAAAATCACGTTTCTAATTTAAATCATAATTTTTAAATCATGTTCATAATTCATGAATTAAACGTCTATCAGTTTTATCGGGTTGGAAGGACCTATAAAAAAGGCCACGTAAGAGACTTGTGCTTACACATCTTCAGCCAGCTAACTAGTAACGAGAGAGTTCGACCGTATTCTAGAACAATCCTCTCCTCGGCGAAGAGGAGGTACGACGATAAGCTCTCTCATTTTCCTTTCCGATCTTGTTTTACTATTTCTAATCTCTTGATTTCAATCTCAACAAAAAAAGGTCTTTTGATTCTCTATATATTTCTTTATTTTTTTGATAATTTAGTTGGTTCTGAAGAAACCAGCAATGTTGGGTTACGAGAACGTTGTTGGTGGGAGGCTGAAGCTGAAGGGAAAAGCGTTGGATGTGAAGAAAGATGGAGGGATTAATATTAAGAAGAAGAAAAAGAAACAAAACAAGAAGAAGCATATAATTATGACCAATTATCTCACCCCAGAGGAAGTGCTCTCTCAAAAGGTTAGTGGATGCCCTTTGTTCATTACATTATGAGCTTTTCGATTTTTTTTTTTTTTTGGGTGAAAAAATTGGGGATAGGAATTTGAATTTTACAACAACAAAAAAAGACAGATTTTCTTTGTTGATCTATAGACTTGCATACTTACGTTTTGTTTTTGTTGTTGTTTCTTTTGGTATATTAAGTTGAGTCTTGATTCAGAGGATCTTCTTCAATCCATGAATGTGTTTGAAAAGCGTGAGTTGAGAAGGTAGATATTATTTGTTCTGTTATGGAAGTCAAATTATGGGTATCGGGTGAGGTCCAAGGCTTTGTTTTCTTTCTGCTACTGTTTTTTGTTAATTTGTGTTGGCAGAAAAAGAAAATGAAACAAAGAGAGGCATATCAAACAGAAAAAAATTGGTCTATGGATGAACTAGAGATATATATATATATATTTTTCCCCCTTGCTTGTTCCCTTCCTTTTTCTCTTTTCTATAATCCTTTTCCATGTAATTTCGATTTTGCTAATCGAGGTTTCTTCCTTTTGGAGGGTGATAGATGGTGACACAATGCGCACAACAGATGATCAGCATGACGATGAAAATGATATTGAGAAAGATGAAAGACAGTCAGCTGCATATGACAGTTATCTTACTCCGGCAGAGAGACGATATCTCCAGCAGTGGGAGAAGCTTGATTGTCGAAGGCTCGCAAAGATGGCGAGCAAATCGCACCATGACCGGATTCAGGAATTCAATCAGTATTTGGCAAATCTAAGCGAGCATTATGACATTCTTAAGGTCGGACCGGGCTAACTATTTCTTGCTGTCAATTTCAACATTGGTTTGTGGTAGGTTGTGTAGCAGAATGCAGATTTCTTCTCTGGAAGAACTATTCTTTCAATTATTCAGAAAGATGTTGGGAAAAAATAATTTGTATGAAAAAAAAACAAACTTCTAATGTGGTTGCCGTTTCTTTTCCTAATATGTAGGGGTTGTTCTTTTGCATTTTTGAGTTAGGGTGTTGAGTGATGATCTTGAGTTGTTTCAATTATAACTTGAGTCGAAGTTGTAACTTGAATTTGTGTTTGGATGTGCACATTTGAGTTATGATTTGAATTGAGAATCTATTTGAGTTTGTGTTTGAGTGAGTTAAAATTTAAATTTGTATTTAGATAGTATTTTAATAAAAACTTAATAGTGATGAAAAATTTTAATAGGGTATATGGGTGAAATTTTATACGTCTTTTCGTTGTGAATGTAAAAGTTATAATATTTTTAAGAATAAAAAAAATATTGTTCATTCATTAACTTGAGTTTGAGTTTATGTACTCGAGTTGAAGATAAAACTTGGACTAAATTCGAGTTCAAACTTAAATTTTATAAAAGAACATGAATTTGAATAAAGTTATAATTTAAATTTAATTTTTTTTTTACTTTCGTTGTAAAAGAACAACCCCGTAGATTTTGTCAACTTGTGATTAGCTGAGATTTTATTTCATTTGTGGTGCTTCCTTGTTGGCTTCGTTCGCTTCGTCGATTCGAGTTTTCAATTTGAACTGAGATGTAACATTTTTTAGAGCTTTTAACTATAACAAAAAAAGCTAGATGTGACATTTTCTGAGAGCTTTTAACTGTAAAAATTTAGAATTAAAAACTCGATCGATAAAATGAACGAAGTTTTTATTTCTCGTCAAATCTCTACCATAATTTGTCTTTCACATGAAAGTAAACAGTCAAAAGTAAACTTTCTTTCACATGAAAGTAAACAGTCAAAGGAAAACTTTCTCTCAAATTCTAATGTTCTTTTCACAATTTAAATCACGATTTAAATTTTTTATTATAGTGTTTTTTCTTATAAAAATTTAAATTTAACTTTTTTATTATAATATTTTTTCTCATATAAAATTCAATTTACAACTCAAATTTTAAAAAAATTAGTACAAAAAAAAAAAAAAAACTCTAAGTTCTAAAAGAACATGCCCTTGATTTTTACTTTTCATAATGATTTTGTCATGATTTTTACTTTTCATAATGATTTTGTCAGTATGATGAAATACCCTATTTGTAGGGCTATTTTGAATCTATGTAGGGCTTAGTATTTTGAATTGTCCTTTATTTATCGAGAGTCTGTTTAGTTCATATATTTAAATTAATAATTTTTAATTTTGACATATAAAATTTAAATTTTTATAACATAATTAAAATTATAGATTTAATTATATAAAATAAACGAGTCCTAAGTTAATGTATTTTCTATAGTATTTAACATTAAAAACATACACTATCTAGAAAGCTCTTTTTTCTCTTGCTCAATCCAGCAACCATGTGGAAATCACTTTTCCTTCTCAATGAGATTGTGTCAGCAAAAGACACGAGAGAAGAGATACACCATATGAATTAAATGGGAAAAAACTCATCAATGCCTATGGAGAGCACAAACTTGTCGATAATACTGCTTTCTACTACATTAACTGAAGAAAAGATATTTTTACATGGAGGTTGGTATTTTGGTTCCTTTGAACATTTCACACAGAATTAATTGCGCCTTTGGAAAACAAATAGAGAGCCTTTGGAGCCTTTTCCCAGCCTTATTTTGTCATCTATGTAGGTAATTCGGAGTTTCACTTCACTTTCGCCGCCATATCTGAGTTCCAATCCTCCAACCTTTAATTCTGGAGGCTCAAATATAACCTGTACCCATTCCTCATTCAGAGCCTTCAACTTCCCTGCTCAGGCAAATTATGATCATGACTTGATCAATCTAAAATTCAAACATTGCAAGTTTTCAACAAGGGATGACACAATATGACGAGGACACTGGTTGATGCGGCGAAACATGTTACGTATTGCCGCTGATGCTGATCAACACTAGCTTCAAACGTGTATCGACATTGTCAAAGAATAACGTAGGATACATTTGAATTGACCATGAACGCAATGAATTGAACCTTTGATGGATGAGTGAGAGAGCTATGGAGCAATGTCCCTTACCAATGGTGTGTAATTAGTTGATAATGTGAGGCATATGCATTCTAAACGTTAAAATTATTTTAAAACTAGCATGAACATCATCCTAGTTAGAACCTAGTTTTTTTTTTTTTTTTTTTTTTTTGAATGGAGAACCTAGTAGTTTCGGGGAAAGAAAAATGTGATATCAGTAAGAAACGCTCCAGGTTAAAACAGAAGCAGTAAGCAACCTTACAAGTCTTAAAAAAACAAGCCTCAACCTTCATTAACAATATAAACTCATAGAGAGATATGGTGACAAACCTTTCAAGGAGACCTCTCCATCCAAGAATCCAAATGCAGAGAAGGCCACTCTGTTTTTGACAATGTCAGGAGCCTCTATGGCCTGAATCATTTCATTTGTTTTAAGAAAAAGTCGCGCAAATGCGCTCCTGTAGCCTCCCCCGGGTGATGTTGGCCTTGAGCAGTATACCACATCCCAATCTGCAAAACCACTTTCGTAATGAGAAGAAAATCACATGGCCATTTTATACCACATTTTTTTGTATTTGGATGTCAATTCGTAAAAAAAAAAAATATATATATATATATATAATAGAGAACAATGGCTCATGCTCAGAGAATGCTGATCTAGGATTTAACCATGATCCTTCATATGAGATCTAGAGCCAAAGAAAAAAGTAACATGAAAGTCAAAAAATTTTATCCATCTCCCTACGTTAATTATGAGTTGTCAAAATTTATGGAAAGCTAGAAGTCTTTAATAGGAGTTTTACCTCCAAAAATAAGAGGGCATTTTACAGGCTCATTAACACAATACTTCTGCAATTCTTGAGCCACTTCAGCTACCTTTTGGTGCTCTTCCTTTTTCAACAGAACACCTCTATCACTTTCTGTCACCTGATCCAAAATCACTATTAAATTTCATGGTAGTAAAAAAAAAAATCAAAAAAAAAAAATCCGAGGATGAAACTGCAAAAATAGCACTACCAACTTTACTCAACGTATAAAAGGAAAGAAAAATAATAATTAAGCTGTGAAAGCAGAGATTTTTTTCTTATTTTTATTATTTTTTTATTTGCAAAATCCTCTTCTACTAAGAGATCAAAATCTAGAAAATTAACAATGTATACTCCAATTTTTTCATCTGGGCAATTATCAACATCAGTATATTCTGTCCCAGGACGATCATTTTGAACCTTGAAACCAAAAAAGCAAGAACAAGAACTAAAAATGAGGACTTAATATCAACAACAACACCCATTACCTTGGAAAGAATAGAAGCAACAAGATCATCAGGGCTACTCCGGACTGGAGGGTCGGAGACCGAAACCGAAGCCAAGACTCTGAATGACTTTTTCTGACGAGAATTAGAGCTTGATGAAACTGAAAAGACCAAATTATTCGTGGGTCTTGAGCGAAGATCAAAGATTTTTGTTCTTGAGCCTCTGAACCCGGAGGGCAGTATTGCCAAAGAAGAGGCTGAGGCAGCCATGGAAATGGTGAGACCGGGGAAGGGAGTGAAATGGATTTTGGAGTTGTCGAGTACAAGATCTTTTCTTGGTTTTATGCATCAGATATGATTTTGTTGGTTGTGCCACGTTGGCATGATAACCGATGTGGAGCCCACTTGTTCACTATGTATTGGTGTTTAGGATTCCACGTTGGCAGATTTTTTTTCCCCGCCTTATCTGATAGACTGACAGCTATCTTCTCTTTCGGGTACAATTTTCTCTGTCTTCTTAAAATTTTAGGCAATTGGCGCAAAAAAGTCTCTTAATTTTATTGGTATAACATTTTGGTATCAGTCTCTTTATATTTATTTTTTTGATAGTTTTATTCTCTCAGACTAAAATTAACTAGCGAATTCTAAAATTAAAAAGTACTAATCACATTTTTAATGCCTAATAACTAAAAATTTTACATAAATAATTACACTGCATACAAAATGATAATTTTTAACAGTAATAAAGAGAAAATCTCGCATATAACGTAATTGAACACGCGCTTATTATAGTTAATTTAATAATTCATTTGTTAATTTATCAAACTTTTAAAAAATAAGAGTTAGAGAATTAATAAGTTAAAATTGAAAAGTTTATGAATTAAAATGTCACTGTGCTCAAAATTGAGAAATTATTTGTGCCATTTACCTTGAAATTCAAGTCTAATTTCACCTTTCACCCAAAAATATTTTAATCTCATTTTAATCTCAAACTTTAAAACCTTATGAATTGCACCAAAACTTTTAAAAAATAAGAGTTAGAGAACTAATAAGTTAAAATTAAAAAGTTTAAGAACTAAAATGTCAGCTCAAAATTGAGAAACTATTTGTGCCATTTATCCTAAAATTCAAGTCTAATTTCACATTTCACCCCAAAAAATACTTTAATCCCATTTTAATCTCAAACTTTAAAACCTTATGAATTGCACCCTAATACAAATATGCCCACTTTCCCTACTCTCTAGTTCCCTCCCTTTTTCTCTTCCTCCCACTCCGACCTGATACAAACCTGTTCTTTGATCAGAAATGACGCTTTGCTTTATCGGGAAGATGGTCAAAAGCTTTTAACAGGTTAATTTCGACTTCCCTTATCACTTTCTTCGGTTTTTGTTTCATTAAAAATTGGAAAGGAAAGTAATTGTTTTTGTTGGTCGAACAACTCTTTTGTCGGACTCGACAATTTCTGCAACTTGGGAAAATTGGTACTTTTTCTTTTTCTTCTTTGTTCTAAGTCTGTTCTGTTTACTCGATAAATGATTACCTGAATTAAAACAAGGGGGAAATTGAATTCGAATCTAGAGAGTGGTGTAAAGAGAGGAAAAAAAATTGATGCTTTATTTGTTTGATGGTGTAAATTAATGATGCTAGTATTCAGGTCTTTGTTTCAATCTTTTCTGTTTTTTTTTTCTTTTATTGTTTGTATGATATGTATAAATATATATTTATATTTTAAATTTGTTTGGGGATTAGCCATAACTAGTCAGTCATAAATTTTGTGTCTCATGGTTGTTGACTTGGTTTCTTCAGAATTTCTTAAAGATAAGAAACAAATAGTGTTATTGGATTGCATTTTCTTTAGCAGCATGGGATTATACAAATCAGTTTTGATAATATATTTACTTTGACTCTTGACTATTCCTTACTATAAAAATTGGGGTGTACAGGGATTGTATTCCTCAGTTGCAATGTCCATGAAAGCAGAAAAATAAAGAAGAAAGCAAGTGAGAATGGTTGATAAATTATGAGTTTCATATGCTTCTTTTTTACTTCCAGTTCTTTAAGACACTCCGATGTCATTGACCCTCTCTGTTACGGCTCATGAGCCGTTTTTCTCAGACACGCTCCATCTCTGGACATCCACATGCTTTCTCTCCCAAGATTCAGAGCTATTGCACTTCTAGACCTCAAACTAAAATCGATTTGCCAGCTTAAACAAATCCACTCTCAGTTGATTGTCAATGGCCTTAACTCGCCCTCCCTCGTGGCCAAAGTAATCCAGCAATACTTCACCTCCTCAAATCCACATAACAACTACCATTATGCACATTTAGTCTTCAAGCACTTTGACAAGCCAAATGTTTTTCTCTTAAACACTTTGATAAGGTGTTCTCAACCTAAGGAAGCTATCCTTGTTTTTTCTAATTGGGTATCGAGGGGAAGCTTAGATTTTGATGATTTTACATACATTTTTGTTCTTGGTGCTTGTGCTCGATCACCTTCTGTGCCTTCAATATGGACAGGGAGCCAAATACATGCCCGGATAATGAGACATGGTATTGTGTCAAATATTATGGTACAAACTACTTTAATTCATTTTTATGCAAGCAACAAGGATATTGACTCAGCACGGAGGGTGTTTGATGAAATGTTAGTGAGGAACAGTGTCACTTGGAATGCAATGATCACAGGGTATTGTTCGCAAAAAGGAAGTGCTTGTGATGCGTTGCTTTTGTTTCGGGACATGCTAGATGATGTTTGTGGGGCAAAACCAACAGATACTACAATAGTATGCATTCTTTCTGCAGCCTCTCAGTTAGGCGTATTGGAAACAGGTGCTTGTGTTCATGGATATATGCAGAAGACAATTTGTGTTCCTGAGGATGATGTGTTTATTGGCACTGGTCTTGTTGACATGTACTCAAAATGTGGATGTCTTAATAGTGCTTTGGCCATTTTTACACGGATGAAGGAGAAGAATATCTTAACATGGACTGCTATGGCAACCGGCCTTGCCATTCATGGAAAGGGAAAAGAAGCATTGGTGCTCTTTGATGCAATGGGGGCTTATGGAATAAAACCCAATGCAGTGACTTTCACCAGTTTGCTTCTGGCTTGTTGTCATGCTGGGCTTGTTGAAGAAGGGCTACATTTGTTTCATAGCATGAGCAAGTTTAATGTTGTCCCTCAGATGCAACACTATAGCTGCATTGTCGACCTTCTTGGTCGGACTGGGCTCTTGAAAGAAGCTTATGAGTTTATAAAGGGAATGCCTGTTGAACCAGATGCTATTTTGTGGAGGAGTTTGCTAAGTGCGAGCAAAATCCACGGGGATGTCACAATGGGTGAAAAGGTTGGTAAGCTTCTCCTGCACAGACAACCGGAACCCTCTTTGGATGTGACCAGTGAAGACTATATAGCTTTGTCCAACATTTATGCTTCTGCAGGAAAGTGGGAGAATGTAGAGATGGTAAGAGAGGAGATGAAGGTCAAACGAATTGAAAATAAAGCTGGTTGTAGTTCACTTCAAACTATCTATAGTTAGCTTTTGGATGGACTCTAGTCTTTGCTAATCACGATGAATCGGACTACAGGATAGATGAAAGTATCTCTCAGTGTGTGTTTGTTTTTCAGACGATTAATGAAACTTGAGGACGTTGACAGTAACTGAAAATGACACTGCTGAAAGGACTTGCTGACGAGCAACAAACATATAGCTATGCTATGATTTGCTGTAAGGACTCGGGGATGTTAAAATGGTACAAGACAATATCACTTGGTAAGGACAAATCTAAGGTTCCATTATTTTGTCGTTCAGTTTCATATCTTTGCCTATGAGTTCTTTTTTATTCTTTCATTTATTTTCCATGTAATCTCACTTTGCTGATGGAGGTTTCTTCTTGTTTGGAAGGTGATAGATGGAAACACAGCATTTTCGGGTAACCAACCCGGGCCTTGAGCTTGAAATGATACTTTGAGGTTTATTCCTTGCTTGCGAAGAGGGTCAGCAAATCACACCAACGGATTCAAGGTTTATGACATCACTAAAGCGAGATCGAACTTGCTTATCTTGTTATGGTTACATCATCAGCTAATGTTTGTGTTTCAAAATGCAAATTTATTCTATTCAAGAGCTCATTCTGTTTTCAACAGCATTGTACTTGATTTCTTTGTGACATTACTCGTACTTTCATGAGATGCTCACCAAAAATTGTAGTAAAAAAAAAAAAAAAGGGCCTTATGGGGGAAGTCATTGAAGATCTTCCCGGGGGGGGGGGGCAAATACTGATTTTTACACATTCTCATAACACAAATATTTTACATGAAGTTAGTGTCTTGACTGTTCATGTATCATTTGACACAGATTTCAGTTGCGTCTTTGGAAAACAAAGAGAGATCCTCTGGACCCTTTTCCCAACCTGACATTTTCATCTATATATGTGATCTGCAGTTTCACCTCACTTTCACCACCATATCGAAATTCAAAAGGTCCAACCTTCAGTATTGGTGGCTCAAATATAACTTGGACCCATTCATCATCCAGAGCCTTTAACTTTCCTGTTCAGACAAATCCAAACTTGATCAATACAAATAATCATTTTGTTTGATTGGTGGATTCGTATTCTGATTCGAATCATGGTTTGTGATTCGCTACAGTATTTTCTCTCACAAAAAACACATAAATTGAGAATGGTTCTGAATTCATGAACCAAACGTCTATTAGTTGGCAGGACTTAAAAAAAATGTCCAATTTTTCCATGTAGTTTTCAACCATGATTCTGACTTTTATCAACTTTTGTTAAATTCTCATGCTTTTTATTTTTAGGAAGTTTATCTAATAAGATAAGAAAAAATTAACTATCGATAATTCTCCACTTTTCAGAAGTTAAATATGTATCATAAATTGTTTGTTATACATATTTTTTTAATCTGATGTAATTTTAATTATATTTAATGGTCAGAAATTGATACTACTAGTAAAGAGATTTACTGGTAAAAATCTTTTATTTTTAACCTAATATAATTTTGACATGATTTGCCAATGAAAATTTGTGCTTTACCTTTAGATATGTTTTCATATCCTGCCAAAAAATTTTCCAAAAAAAAAAAAGAAATTTTTAGAGGACGTTTGGTTGATGGATTCAGAATCATGATTCAGAATTATTCTCGATTTACGTGTACTTTTTGTGAAAGAAAATACTATAACGAGTCACGAATCATGATTCGAACCATGGCACGAATTTTTGAACCAAACGCATGATTAGAGATTGAGGAAAATTATGTGATAAAAAAAATGAACCTTACCGTTAGGACACAATTTTGAATCGTCTTATCACATCCAAATTCTATCAAATTCAAAAAAGTACCGCAATTTAACAAAATCAAATCAAATCTGATGGTTACTGGTAGGGTATTCTTTTCATACCCTACCATGAAATTCTCTTTAGAGCTATAAATGTTCAACAAAAGAAGCTTTGAAAATACAAACTCATACAAAGAAGTAGTAACAAACCTGTCAGAGAGACATCTCCATCAAGGAACCCAAACAAAGAAGGAGACGTTTCTGACAATGTCTGGAGCTTCTAAAGCCTGAATCATTTCCTTTGTTTTGAATAAAATCCGGCAAAATGCACTCCTGTAGCCACCCCCAGGTGAGGTTGGCACTGAACAGTACACCACATCCCGCTCTGGAAAATCACTTGATTATTAACTCATCATAACAAAAACACTAAAAGCAAGTTTAGTTTACGCATTTGAAATCATGATTATGAATCTGTTACAGTATTTTTTTCTCATTTATCTCACAAAATTTAAATTCAAAATCAAAATCACTGATTTAAACGCGTGAACTAAACTAGTCATAAAAGAGTTAGTTTGAAGCATACCATTGTTTATAGGCATAAAGACATGCTTTGAACCTAAAATGAGCAGAATTTAGTAGGAATTTACCTCCAAATATAAGAGGGCATTTCACAGGCTCACTAACACAGAACTTCTGCGCCTCTTGAGTCACTTCAGCTACCTTTTGGTGTTCTTCCTTTTTAAGCAAAACACCTCTATCCGTTTCTGTCACCTAATCCGGTGTAACAATCAGATTTCATCGTACTCAGAAAAATGTAACTCAAAATCAAAGAATGATACTTTTCTCTAAGCCTCTTTGGTTTATATTCATCTTAGTCTGGAAAGTAACACTAATGTGTTTAGTATGGTGGAAAAGAGAGAAAAAAAAATTTGAGGAAGGATTTTGGAGAGAAAAATGAAATTTTAAATTATTTAATAGAGAGAAAATGATGAACGAAGGAAAATGAAAATTTATGGGGTCTACTAATTTTGGAAAGAAAAGAGGAGTGAAAAAAATAAAAAAAACAAATGAAGTGTAAAATAATAATTTTAATATTCACCTTTCATCATATTTTTATTTGTATTTAGGTACTATTGTAAAATGTTTTGGATTTAACATTTTCTTTTCATTTTTTTTCTCTTTTATTAAACAATATGAGAAAAAATTCTAATTCTATCATTTTACTTTCTTCACTCACTTAAGTATTTTAGTTCTCTTTTTTTTTTCTCTTTTTCTTTCCGTCCTATGAAACATAACACCTAAGAAACTGACAAAGTACAAACAAGAAAGTAATAAAAGTTGAGGCGCATGTATTCATTTTCCCTTAAAAATCCTAGGAATAGAAGAATAATGCTACACGGATAAACAAAATTATCAGCAGTTCAGTCGACACCACTAAATTAGCAAGAGTTCACAGACTTAATTGTCAAAATTAAAAAGTTTGGGACCAACTTATCACTTGTTAAAAATTCCGGACACAAATGGAGGTAATTACCAAAATACCAACAACAATTCTTACATTATTGCAAAAGTCTTGTTTCAGTTCTTAAATTTGCTAAAATGGTTTCGCAAATCTGTTTCAATATTCTCTTCAGTTAAATTTAAGAGAAAATGGTCATTTGATACAATGATTTAGTTACATGTTGATCCTCAAATTTCACACGAGTCTCATTTTAGTCCCTTGTTAAAGACTGTTATGAGAAAGTGGTAAAACAAATAAATAAACAAAGCCAAAACCTTTTTAGTTTGTTATAAATTTAAGCATTGTTCATTTCACCGATTTGAATTTTTAATTTTAATTTTGTTGTAGTTAAAAACCCTCATAGAAAGTTACATTTAACTTTTTTACTACAATTAAAAATTTTCACGTAAAATTACATTTCAGTTTAAATTAAAAATTCAAATCGATAAACCAAACCGGGGCCTTACAAACTATGGCCGTGTTTAAAATTGATATCGTTTTTATTTTTTACGTTTTTTTGAGAAAAAAAAAATGAAAATGTTTTCAAAATGGTGTTTGGCATAATAAAGATAAAAAGTATAAATGAAAATGATTTTTTAATTTAGTGTAAAATAAGAGAGAAATGAAAAACGACTTTTAATCATTTTTTATTTTTTATTTTTATTTTCTCTTATCTCGAGCAAAGAGAGAAAGATAGGCATTAATGAGTTTTTTTACACTGAAAACAATCTATTGATAAAACTACCAAACGCTTTTTAAAAATGATTTATGTCAGAGATTGAAAACATTTTCATTTCCATTTTTATATAAAAAATAAAATAATTTTGAAACGAGTTCCAAACGCGCTCTACAACTCTTGATTTTTAAATTCAAGGAATAAAAGGAGACTTGTCCAATAATGAAAACAAAATTCCTTTCTCTGAATTTTGAATGATTGAACGTGGATGACGAACTAAGTTTGTGACGTTTGGTAAGGGAATTCGTACTCTGATTCGAATCATGGTTCATACTTCGCTACAGTGTTTTTTCTCACAAAAAATACACGTAAATAAAAAATGATTCTAATATCATGATTATAATCCATGAACCAAACGTGAATGCGTTTGGAGTGGGGATCCGTGTTATGGTTCGGATTAAGATTCGTAACTCGCTATAATATTTTTTCTTAAAAAAAAACACATAAACTGATATAGTTCTGAAATATGATTTTAAATACATTAACTAAATGTCTTTTAAAAACAAAAAAGTTAACAAAATCCATTTTATTTTTACCTTGTAAAGAATAGACGGGATGAGATTATCGGGACCTATTCGGCGTTCAATATTAGGAACCGAAACCGAAGTCAAAACTCTCAAGTTTCTACGCTGGCTACGAAAATTATGCGAGTGAGATGAGATTGAAAAGACCAAGTTTGTGGGTTTCGAGCCATGAAAATGAAAACCAATCAACTTTGGTCTAGATGATGGCGGTAGTGCTAAAGAGGAAGCTGAGGCGGCCATGGAAATGTGGCGTTTGGATTCTCAGAAAAGCGGGATTCGGTAAAATTAGTGGATTTTGTGCTCACGAGTAATCAGATAATCGGTCGGTTCATGCCCTTGCATTTACGTTAATCGAGGTGGACCCGCTTGGTGTTCTCTATTGGGTGTTTTTGATCCACGTTGGCAGATTTTATTCCCCTCCTCATCTTACGTGAGGATTAATAATTTTGTCTATTGTGTATTTACCATATGAAGCATTTTGTGTCAGGTATGAAAAAGTACCTAGTAGTGAGACCATCCTTATTATTTCTTATAAATTGAATTATATTGAGATAAATATGATAATTTAATAAAAAAAATTTAGACATATGTATGACACGGCATGTAAATGTTATTAAGAGTAATAATTTAAGTGTGTCGTGGTAGCACAATTTGAATCGGATAAGAAATAGGTGAATTTTTTTTTAATAAAAAATGGAGGTGAGGAATTTAAACTCTTATAAGATGTGGTGAAGTCACGTGTAAAATGATTGCTAGTCTATGTCTAACGATCACAAAAAATAGAAAGATTTTAGTGAAGCTTAATCATATTTATTCGTATATCACCAATTAAGTGTCGAAGTTTACCTCTTCAACGGTTCTTGCCCAGCCTAGCTCTCTTATTAACATACAAAAGGCCCGTACGACGGTACGAGGCTTCGGTGAGTCAAATTCCGACCAAGACTTACTGGTGATCAATCAATTTCGAGTGGGGATTGAGCCACCACACGCTGAACTTCTGGTGCCAACGAACAACGTTTTTAATTTACAAAGGTTATAGAATGAAGGACACATTTGTACTATCAAAAGTTAAAGGTAATTGGGTATCCTACTTAGCTAAGCCTTGTATAAATTAACCTTGCCATAATGGCCGTGTTTAGAATTGATTCTGTTTTTTTTTACGTTTTTTGAGAAAAAAAAATAAATATATTTTTAAAACGGCTTTTGGCGTAATACAGACAAAAAGCAAAAATGAAAATGATTTTTTGGTTCAGTGTAAAATGAGAAAAATGAAAAATAACTTTTAGTCGTTTTTTATTTTGTATTTTCGTTTTCTCATCTCTTCAGAGAGAGAAAGAGAGACATTAATGAGGTTTTTTACACTTAAAAAGTAATATCTTGATAAAATTACCAAACGCATTTTCAAATTTAATTTCTGTCTGAGATTGAAAATGTTTTCATTTTCATTTTTGTACAAAAAATAAAATCATTTTAAAACAAATTATAAACGCGCCCAGTGTCTTTTAAATCCTTGTGCCCATTATCTCATTGCAACAATTCTTGCTAAGAAGAATGCTCTTATTGCAGCAATTCCACTCAGAAAGTAATTGTTTACCTCCTACAATACGTCCTTAGATAATGCTCAAGGCAGGAGCAACTATTAATTTATCCAATAACCACATTCGCTGAATAGAAATATTACCCATTTAGTTCATGGATTAAAATTATTTTCAATTTACGTATATTTTGTGTGTGAAAAAATACTGCAGCGAATCATGAATCATAATTCGAATCAAGAAACGAATCATCCAACCAAACGGACTAAAAGCCCACAAAAAAAAAAGTTGTATGCAGACAATGAATACTATTTTGCAAAGAATTAGCGTTAAGTTTGAAACTTAAAAATACATTAATTGAAATCTTCATTATAATGCAGTATCTTTACTTTTTTGGCTTGAAATTATTAATGCACCATCTTGTACTACTTCAACCTCCAGCCGGAAGCATTGTTTCTAACAGCAATGAACACCATTCATAGAATAAAATTTTAAATTTCAATTTCAATTATATGTCTTCCCATGCATTTCTCACAGTATCGTTGTCGTTATTATTATTTTTGTTGTTGAATGGTTATAGTATCCAAATTGCTGCTTACCAAAAAATAAAAACAAGTTTATTATTATGCCGGCACCACATAAACATTATTAGTTTAAGACTCTGATTTGAGTTTAAAATTTGAATTTTATTACAGTATAAAACTCTAAAAAATAATCATATTTAATTTTTTTATTACAATAAAAAAATTTCATATAAAACTACGTCTCAACTCAAATTAACGAATTAAACGGCCCTAAAACGACGACAATAATACAAGAAGTATATACATGGGGCCACTTTTACGTTTCCGAAGATCCCAACGGTTGAAAATGAAATTAACAACAAAAGTGTTGATTAGCGACTAATCAGTAGTAAGCAATATTACGTGGGAATATCTCCACAACTCTCTGCGAGACGAGAGAGAGAGAAAAAAAATTTGCGAAATTTCCATATCGAGAAACAGAGTAAACCACGAACTCGGAATTGTTGATTTACAGATCTCAGATTCCTCTTCCTCCTCTCTGATCATCATCATCATCAGGTGCTTAATCCTCTCTCTCTCTCTCTCTCTTTTTATTTTTTTCTCTTCTTGTTCTTGTTCTTGTTCTTCTCATTCTTATTGCGTAATCAATGTATTAACCTCTTTCTTTTCCTGAAAAATTTTCCTTTCTTTCTGTCTGAGCATTAACATTTCAACTAACGCGGAGTTTTTCTCATGGTATATTCTTATGCAATATATAATATTATTGTCCGGCTAATTCCATACAGTATATTATTCTCATTCAGTATTGTAAAACAGAATGAGGGTCCTATTTTAAAAAAAATAAATAAATAAATAAAGAATGAGAATCATAAATGTCGTAGAATAGAATGATGGTAGGGATCAGACGTCTCTGAGTAAAGTAGTACAGGTGAGTGGAATCGGACGATCCGATGCATTGTGTTTATATACAAATGCATGGTGTTTTCTTCTGACCAGTAAATATAATTTTTTGACGCGATAAGCCAGAATCAATTGTTTTTCAGCATTTTTTTTCTGCATAGAAAATAGAATATAAATATAGATGTGATAAAAAAACATTATAGTTATAAGATTTTGGCCCTTTAGGTACGGGTCCGTTCATTTCGCTGATTCGAGTTTGTAATTCGAGTTGAGATGTGATTTTATGTGAGAGCTTTTTACTGTAGCAAAAAAGTTAGATGTGATTGTTTGTGAGAGCTTTTTACTGTAGTAAAATTCGAATTCTAAACTCGAATTGGTGAAGTGAACGGGGCCTTAGTTTATGTAAATATCGGCCACATTGAGATTTGAAGATTTTTGTTTTGATAGGATTTGAAAAAAAAAAATTCACGCCTTTTTTTTTCGTCTCAGTTACTTGTAGCAGCCTAAGTTATGATAATCAGTGTGCTATTTATTATTATTATTATTATTATTATTATTTTGGCTTTTGTAGTGGAAAGCTAAGTAATTATTAAAAAGGCCATATTAGTGTGTAATTATTTTAAAAATAAAATTTACTTTTGCAACTTATTATTATGAGAAAAAGCAGATTTAACATTTAAAATTACATTATTTATTGGATCACAAATATAAATAACATATCTAATATGCCATTTTTAAACTTTTTAGTGTAAAATATGACATTGGTATTAGTATTTGCATTAGATATGGTCTAAGCTAGAGTTCAAATCTATTGTCCTATTTTCAAACGTTAGATGTCAAAATGTGATTGCTGAGATAACCGATTAGACAAGAAAATGAAACAACATATTTGAACTTGATATAAGGTCTAACATTGCATTTATTATGTTGTTAGTAGGGTTAAATTTGGTTTCCATGTAAATTTGTTTCAACAGTGAATGATGCTTTAATAGTTCAATTTGGTCTCTCAAGTGAAGGAAACTTGTGCATGGCGGGTAGGCATAAGAGGTGTTCTGGATAATGTCTGGCTCAAAACAGCGGCTACATTTGAACAAAAGGCCAACACGGATTCTTCTATTGGTCTCCTTTGTGACCCTTTTCCTGATTGTTGCCTATGTCTACATTCCGAGAAGCTCTTCTGCGGGTTGCTTCTTCTTCTCTACTAGCAGTTGCGGCGCGACATTTTTCCAAAACGCTCTATTGTCGTCTCCTTCGAGGGAGTTGACAGATGCCGAGGTTGCATCTGAGGCTGTAATCAGGGAAATTTTAAGGACCCCTCCTGTCCAGTCAAAGAATCACAAAATCGCTTTCATGTTTTTGACTCCTGGTTCTTTGCCTTTTGAGAAGCTTTGGGACAGGTTCTTTTATGTAAGAATTCGAAACGTGCTTAGTTATGTTCTTGTTTGATCTCTTTTGTTATTTATTCTCAAGCAAGCATTTCCGAAGCCTTAATCTAAATGACATGATTTAAACTTTGTTCTTGCAGGGCCATGAGGACAAATTTACTGTTTATGTACACGCGTCTAAGGAAAAACCAACTCATGTGAGCCCTTACTTTGTTGGTCGAGACATACATAGTGAAAAGGTAAAGCTTTCCTCATAGAATTTGTGCACTTATATTTGTTGATATGTGTGAGTGCATGTATTTTATGGGCTTGTCTGCAGTCCTCTCGGATGAAAAGTGCCTCTATATAACATAACTTTTATTCAGCGTAACACTGACATTATAGAGATGCAATAATAGTATTAGATAATTAAATTTCTTAGTGTTACGCCTTTTTAAGAACAATATTATGTTGAATAAATGTCATGTTATGTGGAAGTACAATCTTTTTTAAAGTACTGTAGTAAAGGCTTATATTTATACTATGAGTAACAACGTATTTGCAGTTGGCGTGGGGAAAATTTTCAATGGTTGAGGCGGAGAAGAGACTTTTGGCAAATGCACTTTTTGATCCTGACAATCAGCACTTTGTCTTGCTATCTGATAGGTTATTTCTCATTTGTCGTTTGAAATTGGACCATTTTTATCTCATAGGATCTCATTCTATTGTTAGGTATTAATTATTTTCTTTTTTTGTACTTCTTGTGCCAGTTGTATACCAGTGCATAACTTCGAGTACGTGTACAATTATCTAATATTTTCGGACGTGAGCTTCATTGATTGGTAAGAAAATCCATATTTTTGGAAAGGGAAACCAATGAGATTCAAGAATTGTTTTCCTACTTGTTTTTTTGATAAAAACTCTCATTCTCTCACATCATACTGCAATTTCGATTTTAATCTAAATGACTCTCTCTGTAGTTTTGTGGATCCTGGTCCTCACGGAAATGGCCGGTACTCAGAGCATATGTTGCCTGAAGTTAAAGAAGAGGATTTTCGGAAGGGTTCACAGGTAATCTTGAGTTTTTATTTTTATTTTTATTTTTATTCCTGATAGTTGCTCTTTGATATATGTAATAAATCTACATTTTTCCGCTCATTGGCTTATCATAAATAGTGATTTAAGCTTTTTATTCCTCTCTATGAACTGAGGCACAACATTACCATTCTAGATCATATTCTACTTGATATTGCCCCTCTTAAATAGCTAATATATTACTCTTTCTCATGAACAACACTTTCATCAAACCAAAAGGCAGCTTTGCATCTTGAAGAATGGTTAACGGCACTGCTGTTCTAACCCGCCTTTAAACGTCATCTAAACTACTTTTTTTCGTTTTTCGTTTTCCTTTCCTCCTAAAGATTCCAGAATAAAGCTCTTATTCGATTATCTATATATGTGGAGAATCTACTTAGGTCTAATAGCATGTTTAGTGTAGATTGCTCCTAATTAGGCAGAAATTAATCTGTCTATGGTCAAATTTTTGGGTCTAGGCAGCTAACACTTTGATCAACGCCTTGTATCTTGTTGATTAAAGGACTATAAAACAAATAACCCCTAGATTGAAGAGTTCCATAGGTTGCAATGGAGGGAAAGTCTTACTTATGCATCTCTTTGTAGATATTACAACTTTCACTACACGAAATCAGAAAGGAAGTCGCCTTAGTTGTCTTCACCATTGAACAAATTGCTACAATGAAAATTTTTGCTAGAGACGATTTCGAAATAATGAAATTTATATGACTCGATGGTCAAGTAGATGATGATTCTCAGTCTATGGCTTAGCTGGATTTGAAACACTGATTCATGTTTGATGCAGTGGTTTTCTATGAAGCGGCAACATGCAATTATAGTTATGGCGGACAGTTTGTACCATAAAAAGTTTGAAGTTTATTGCAAGGTGACGCTTTTTTTTTATCATTGAGGTGGGGGGATGGATGATCAAATTTTCGTTCTGAAATTATCTCTATATATTTGTTTGTGTGTGTATGCCTTCGTAAACGTTTAAATTGAGGTGATATCCACAATGGAAAGACTTGACAGTTTGAGGATAAAGTGTAATTTTCCTCTTTTGATTTTGAATGTAGACGCTTGCCAATATATGATGAAAGACTGAAAAGAAAACGGTTAAATCTCTCTTATAGAAAGGATGATGAAAAAAAAAAAAAAAACCCATTTCCATCAAGATATTGATGATGTTTTTCTTTGAATTTCTCAGCCAAACATGGAAGGGCGCAACTGCTACTCGGACGAGCATTACTTGCAAACCTTTTTTCATGTCGGTACAGCGACATTTTCTTGGTACAATCTTTGTTTGTTTTGGTTGTCTTGACTGAATTTCAACACAAGTTTTGCCATAAAGCCAATTCCATCTTTGTCAATCATGTTCTCTTCAGCTGAAAGACCCTGGTGGAATTGCAAATTGGTCAGGAACCCACGTCGATTGGTCCGAAGGAAAATGGCATCCGAAAGCTTATAGGTCTCAGGATGTTACGTTCGAGCTCCTCAAGAACATTACGGTATAATGCATTAGTCTGACTAGCTTCTAGCAACTAACATTTCCATTAAGCATCACTAACTTTTAATCCAATGCTTCATTATCATTTGTTACTTTAGCACTATTATCATACTGTGATTTAAATGGCTGAGCCAGACAAATTTTTCGGTAGGTGTACCGTGGAAAAAAAAATAGAGATAATATTTTATTCAATGGAGACATAATTATATATTTTTTAATTATTGAGTAGGGGCACAATTATAATTTTTCTTGTAAAATGAGGACGTGTCTAAAGTTTTTTGAAAATTCGATAAAAATTCAAACTTAAAAAATTGAGCGGCAATACGTGTCCCACTCAATTTAATCGAATCTGTCACTGAATGGCCATCACATTAATAATTTGATTGGATTGGAACTGCTCTTATGTCCCCCATTTTTCTTAGCAATCACTTTGTTTTGTCAGTACTACTTTCTTCTAATTTGTTGACGTTTGTTAAACATTTTCAGTCCATTGATGAGAGCACTTATGTTACAAGTGATGCAGAGGTACAAACACACAATATATATATGTGTGTGTGTGTGTGTGTGTTGTATATGTATATGTATTTGTATGTGTATAAGTATATGTATACTTCTCATGCACTATTTTCTGTTCATCATACTTCAATAATAATTGGTGTTACGTTCATTTGCTGCTACAGAGGACAGTAATGACCAGGCCTTGCATATGGAATGGGGTGAAGCGACCATGTTATTTGTTTGCAAGAAAGTTTTACCCCGAAACTCTAGAGAAACTAATTTACCTTTTCTCCTCTTAGCAAAAAATAAACTAAAAAAACTACTTTTCTCTAATTATGCTAAATTTTACCGTTGACATTTTCTGTTTATTGGTTAAATCGAACACCATTCAGTGTCTGCCCCACTTGCCAAGTCCTTGTGGTTAAAGTATTCGATTCTCAAAGGGTAGTTCCAAGCGAAGGATCAGAAGCATGCCAACAAGGAATGGGCTTGGCTTTGGAACAATGCCTTATTTCTCTATTGTTTTTAACAGTTTTCTGTCCATTTTTTGTTAGTATTCTTTCATTTATAGTTTTTGTTCAACTAACATTCATTTATAGTTTGAAGCAAAAGCTTTTGATCTTTTAGCATTTTATATTTGTTTGTTAGTTTTTTGTTTTGTTTTTTTGCTTCTTTTCTTTTATATAGTGGTCATTTTTGTAAGACCAACAAAGTGTTGTTTTTTTTTTTTTTTTGGTTGCGTTGCTAGTATTGCTAGAGACTTTTACCTGAATTTTTTATTTTAGTAGATTACATCATGATTTTTTTTTTTTGACAATTTAGTTATAGAAACTAAAATTCGCTAGTGGCTACTGAATTTTACTAGAGATCTTAATCGTATAGTAACTGAAATTTTTATAAAAATAATTATGTTGAATACAAAATATTCTTTTCCATAGTTCAAAATCCCTGAAAAATATAACATTTCGTCAAAAATTGTTTTGGCTCAACTCCATCAAAAAAATAACCAACCACGTGTAAATCATTAATTACCTAGGGTTAAAACAGATGTGCTTCTTGTTGAATGCCTCAAATTATAACAGTGTTAAAATTTGAAAGGAAACACTTTCACCGACGTCTCATGAACTTTTTTATAAAGAGAGACCGGACGTTTGGTTCATGAATTCAGAACTATAATTTAAAATTATTTTTAATTTATGTGTGTTTTTTATGAGAGAAAATACTGTAGCGAACAACGAACCATAATTCTAATCGGGATACGAATCCCCCAACCAAACAACTAAATTTTAGATGACAACATAGCACATCAAGTCACATTTAGAGGGTATTTTCTCTCAAATTTCAACATTTTAATTGATTTGGGTAAGCTGTGTTATATTTTATTAATCTTTAATAAATAATTTTCTAAATTCAAAAATCATAAGATAATTCATTAGTTTACTAAGGCTTCATTCGTTTAACCGTCTGAATCATAATTCAAACTTTTTATTACAGTATTTTCTCTTATAAATATTTAAATTAAAGTTTTTTTTATTACAGTATTTTATCTCATACAAATTCGCATATCAACTTGAACGCACAAAATGGTTAAGGCCTAACAATTCAAAGGAAAAAATGTCAAAAGCCCTTTTCTAATGAAAACATTTTAAAATTAGTTTCAAAACTTATGGCCCGTTTAATTCGCTGATTCGAATTGAGATGTGACTTTTACCTTGTTCATTTCATCGATTCGAGTTTTCAGTTTTAAGTTTATACAGTAAAAAGTTCTCAAAAAATGTCACATCTAACTTTTTTTGCTACAGTAAAGCTCTCAGAAAATGTCACATCTCAGCTCGAATTGAAAACTCGAATCTGCGAAGTGAACGAGGCCTTTATGTAAGAGTTTTTTACTGTAGCAAAAAAGTTAGATGTGATTATTTCTGATAACTTTTTATTGTAACAAAACTTAAATTTTAAACTCGAATTGGTAAAATGAACATGACCTTATAGTTATCCCAATCATATATTATATATGTTATTTCAATTGTTAAAATATCAATAGAAAAAATGTATGACTTCTTTCTTAGTAGTCACATCCTTATACGTAAAATTACAAAATAAAGATGGGTGCTTTTATATTGAGACGACTTCTTTCTTAGTAGTCACATCTTAATACGTAAAATTTTAAAATAAAGATGGGTGCTTTTTTATAAGGAGAAAGAGAGAAATAAATTAAGACTTGAGATAAATTAAAATTAATAGGTTAATAGTTTACATAAGTTAATAAATATGTCAAATTACTGTTTTCGTCCATAACTTGTCTGGTTATAAACCATAACTTGACAAGTTATTGTCCATAAATCACAATTTTTGTCCCTAACTTGTTTGGCTATGAACCATAACTTGACAAGTTTGTTCATGACTTATTTGGTTATGAAACATAACTTGACAAGTTATGGCATATTAATTTCTATAACTAAAAATTGACCTATATACTTCCTTAAACTTTTCATATTGGCATATTTTCTATTATTTCCGTTTTTTATATTGAGATTTAAACAATCAGATGTCCAATACGATGTTAAAAAACCAATTGCTAAAACAAAATTTGAACAATAGCTCGAAAATTAAAAATGGATTAAAACTCGCACAGTAAAAACTAAAAATGAATTAAAACTCGTACAATAAGAACTGTTATTTTACCATATTAGTTAGAATTGTTATTTTTAATAATTGAATTAGTTTTTTAATAATCAGATCTATACGTGTTCATATTAAAAATTTATGACTTGCGACGCATAATTGCTTATGAATAATATTAGTGACACCAACTCAAATCCCAACTTTTATATACTAACTAATATGACATATGAGTTATCATTCTTATATTAATGTGTGTTTAAAATAATGTCACATAAATTAATGATAAGAGATTGTAATTATCAATAAAAATATGACAACTCACATACTACATCAGTTGGTACACAAAAATTAATATTTAAATTGGTGTTTCTAACACTACTCATTGCTTATACTCATAAATTAGACCTTTGAAAACTAATCCAATAGTTAAAAGAATAGTTCATACCAGTAGGATAAAATAAGAGTTCCTGTCATAAGAATTCGAAAGGATTAACTCAGAAAAAAAGTTAATAGGATTGTTAGTCCTTAAAATTTGAATACAACAACATTTTCAAAAAGTTAAAATTCAGAGACTAATATGCTAAAATTAAAGAGTTCAGGAGTCAAAATGTTATTTTACTCAAAGTCGAGGGACTACGAGTGTGTTTGATTCTCACATTTAAGTTAATGATTATGAGCCCGTTTAGTTCACTGATTCGAGTTTTAAATTCGGGTTAAGATGTGACTTTATGTGAGAGTTTTTACTGTAACAAAAAAGTTAGATGTGACTGTTTCTGAAAGCTTTTTACTGTAACAAAACTCAAATTTCAAACTCAAATCGGTGAAGTGAACAGGCCTATGATTCATTGGCGAGAGCTTTGTGAAAGAACCATTGTGAGAAACTTTTGAATTCAAATTCTTTATAAAAGGGAAATATTATAACAGACTTAAATCATGGGTTCAAATACATTTACGAAATTAGCATATATGTGCCCATTATTATAAAAAAATAAAGAATTTATTTTTAAGAGTGTATAAATCTAGACATTTATCTCTTACTCTTAATAAATACTATTGTATTAGTATAATTATTTAATTAAAAAATTATAAATAAAAATAAATAATAAAAATTTCATGGACTTTTAAAAATATTTGTTATTATCCAAAAAGGTGCTTTGATCCACTAGACCTCCAGTCTGCAGCCAGACATGCCACAATGTGTGGACACGGTGTACGAACCCCAAACCTTCCCCCTCACAGTTACGTTGTCCATGTCCCTCCGATCTTCCCTCAAACCCCAAAACTAATCTCGACCGTCCGTTCAAAATTACCCCCCAATAAAAACGCGGGAAATAGGAAATATCTTTGCAGTCCCAGACCCCCAGTGTCCCTTCCCTGTTATAGAGAGAGAAAGAGAGGAGAGAGAAAGAGCGAGAGTGAAGGAGAGAGAGAGAGGGTTTGTTCTTGCTTGTCGGAGAAGAAACGCGAGAAAGCTCTGCTGAGATACTGCCATGGCGCCGAGGAAAAGGAAAGCGGACCAAGCGGAGGCCGTAGCCGCACCGGCTAGGGTGACTCGGAGCTCGACTCGGCGAGCTGCTGAGTCGAACTCGGCTAACTCAGTTCGCGAGTCGCCTAAGCCCGAGAAGAGAGGAAAGAAGAAGGCGGACGGAGCCGAGAAGAAGGAGAAGAAGCTAAAAGTGGAGTCCGAGGAAAACGCAGCGGCTAAAAATGGGGTAAAGGAGGAAGCTTTGGGGGTTGTCGATGGCGAGACGAAGAAGAATGTGGTTGTCGATGGGGAGAAGAAGAAGACTGTTGTCATTGAACACTGGTAACTCTTTCGATTTTCTTTTCCCTGTTTGGTTCCCTAGGAAGTGTAGAAATGTTCTTCATTTTGATAAAATATATAATATATTCCCTTTTAGAGGTTTTTATGTCATTGTTTGGCTGGTTTGCGGATATTATGAAGGAAAGTACAATAAAAATGATGTCTTGAAACTTTATTTCTTTATTTCTTGGTGTCCTTAATAGTAAGGAAAATTTAGACAAGTATTCAATAAGATTAGGTTAAAGATACTCATTTTCCCCCATTTTCGGGTTTCTTCATTTTTTTTTTTTTCCCATTTCCAGACTTTGATTGTCAAGACTCTATTTTTCCTCTAGAGTTTTGATTGTCAAGACTTTATTTTTCCTCTGAGTTTTGGAGAAGAAATAAGTTGTGAAGATTTAGGGCAGGGCAAAGAAAAATATTTATGTATCTTTTTATTTCGGGAGTAATTTATAAAAGGCTTGATCACTGTGTTGAATAAATGCTTATTTAGCTCTTATTTTTTTCGTTTTTTTTTTTTTTTTTTTTTCAAAATGCAACTTCTGTTGCCGTATGGAGTTATTATGTTCCGTTCCACTAAATAAAGGCAGTACAGTTGACCATCAAGACCTGTCTTTTATTTGTTTTAGTTGATTTTTCTTTAGGTGCAGGATCTTAACACTCTGACTTGCTTTCTTGATAATAAGGTGTTTTAAGAGATATTATATATAGTAATATAAAGGTAAAAGAAGTTTGTTTCAAGTTAACACATATCAATTCTGTGATTGTGCGCTTGTTGTTTGCTTCAGAGGAGTCGTGGCTCCTGCAGAGGTGGAGTTCTAGATTGTTCTTGGGCGAAAGTAAACCATATCTTGAGTGGTTTTTTTTTTTTTTGTTCCTTTTTTTTTTTCCTGGAAGAACAGGATAAACAGTTATGATTATTACCTGAAGCTGTATTCCAATGTGGATTTTTGTTAGCAACCTTTTCTGTTCTTCCTGATGTCATGTAGTTAATAATTTATAGCTTGTGGGTTAATTTCTTGGCTGGATTCACTTTATTACTGGGTCTACTTTGATGTGTTGAATCTCTGCCCTGAAAGCTGAAAAACAGGAAAGATTCGCAGGGTTATGATATATATACCCGTTGCACATATGGTTGTCAGTGCTATTCCCAAAATTCTGGTATTTTATTTTCCTAGTTTCTTCCATTATATGTATTCTTTCTAGCTAATTTTTTTACTTTCTGCAGCAAACAGTGCAATTCCTTCAAGACCAGGGCTTTGCAGGTGAAAGAGGGTTTGGAAAAGGATGTTCCTGGCATCACCGTTGAGGTCAATCCTGACAAGGTACATACATGTACATCTTGATATAGTGTTAACTTTGACTTCAAAATCAAATGGGATTAGAACTATTTTGTAATCTTCTGGTAAAATTATCGCGATCATGAGATAAACTTAGGTATATTTCAGCTTTAAGTTATTCAAGGTTGAGACTGTGAAAGAGCCTGTTGCATTTGAAAAGCCAATGCAACAGAAATCACAGCCAGTACTAACTAGATAACAGATAAGCTTGGATTTGTTTGACATAGTAATACCTCATTTTCATACATGCGTAGTCTGAGAATTTGATGATAAGCGCAATTATTATCTAAAAACTAATTCATCTGAAATTGTATAAAACTTTTTGTTGCAACCACTCCCTTTCACTTTGGTTATATGTGTTTGTTGTCTACTCGTCTTCTTATTGTATGATCTAAAATATTAGTACTTATCAGTTATCTCATAAAATATTAATACCGACTTTTTTAATACAATTTCTAAGAAAATTGTACTCTGTTTAGTTTATAGATTCCAAAGCCCGGTCTCTCCGGCCTTTGGATGGAATTCTTTTTCCTTGTCTGATATGTATATGAGTTATATGTAATGCTGTCACGCTACCTGCAAAATAGAATGGATAATAGCGGGGTTGGCCTTCAGTTTGGTTAGTATTATTAAATGTGGGGAGGTCGTTTGGGGAAACAATAACGGATGAGAAAATATAAAGGATACGCGCAATTATTAGCTAAAACTAATTCATCTGAAATTTTATAAAACTTTTTGTTGCTACCACTCCCTTTCACTTTGGTTATATGTGTTTGTTGTCTACTTGTCTTCTTATTGTATGATCTAAAAAATTAGTACTTATCAGTTATCTCATAAAATATTAATACCGACCTTTTTAATACATTCTAAAAAAATTGTACTCTGTTTAGTCTATAGATTCCAAAGCCCGGTCTCTCCGGCCTTTGGATGGAATTCTTTTTCCTTGTCTGATATGTATATGAATTATATGTAATGCTGTCACGTTACCTGCAAAATAGAATGGATAATAGTGGGCTCGGCCTTCAGTTTGGTTAGTATTTTTAAATGTGGGGAAGTCGTTTGGGGAAACAATAACGGATGAGAAAAATATAAAGGATTATCTAATCTTGTGATGTGACCTTACTTAACATATTTGACTTTTAAATTCCAGAGTGAGGTGATTTAACTAAGCATAATAGCATGCATCTAAAATTAAGTTGGTCAACTATTCAAATATTACGATGCTACAGGGGAGCTATTTCATCTTTGCCTATAGTATTTTTATAAAGTTGTTGCCTAGAACAAATACATTTCTTGCAGGTTTATCTCTTTGCTTTATCTTTAGAGCTGTCATATTGCAGTTTCTATTTTGTTAAAGAGAACCGTAGGTTCTTTAACTAGTAGATCTATGGAGTTAGTAAATATTATGGTAAGAAGAAGAATTAACATTTTATGCTTACAGAAAATGAAGTGGACAGGAGAGAAAGTAAAGGAGATTGGAAATTTAGGACATAAATTATGGTATACAGGGTGAGAAAGGAATCACAAGTGGACAAAACTGTGAAGGATGACGTAGTTGAGATTAAGCGAATAGGGGATAGAATTATTATGCTCAAATTGGTACTAGGAAATAAGTTCATCTATGTAATTAGTGCTTATGCTCCACAAATAGGATTGGATGTGGAAACTAAAGTCAAGTTTTGGGAAGACATGGATGACTTAGTGTGTTATATAGGCAATGAGGATAGCATTTTCATTGGAGGATAGGGAAAACTTCGAAAGGATCCACGGTGGTTTTGGTTTTGGAGCTCGAAACGAAGAAAGAAAATCTATTTTGGAATTTGCGTTGGGACATGATTTTATCATAACAAACACATTTTTCAATAAAAGAGGTTCTCACTTGATCACTTTTAAGAATGGGAGGAACTTGAGCCAGATAGATTATTTGCTCATAAGGTATAGAGAACGTTCTCTATGTAAGGATTGTAAAGTAATTCCTGGAGAAGTACTAGCCACCCAACATAGGTTAGTGATCTTAGATGTGAGCATTAAGCATTGCTATAGAAGGACTAAGATAAACCACCTCCCATGAACTCGTTGGTGGCATTTGAAGGGAATAAAGCAATTGCCCTTTAAAGAGAAGTTGTTAGAGGAGGCTACTTGGTCATATATTAGTGATGCAAATACTATGTGGGATGTCATGACCAGTTGCATTAGAAAAGTGGCAAATGAGGTACTAGGGGAATCTAGAGGTAAAGGCCCCCCAGAGAAAGAAACCTGGTGGTGGAGTGAGGAAGTTCAAAAGGCTATTAGGATCAAGAGGGATTTATATAGAGATTTACCAACGTGTAAGGATGTTGAAACTTTTAATAAGTACAAAGAAGCGAAGAAAGAAGCTAAGCGAGCAGTTAATAAGGCTCGTTTTACTTAGATGAGGTATATATGAAACTTGGGACTAGAGAAGGAGAGAAGGATATATATAAGCTAGCTAGGACAAGAGAAATGAAGTGTCGGGACTTAAATCAAGTGAGGTGTGTTAAGGATGATACGGATCAGGTTCTGACAAAAGATAAAAACATTAGGGAAAGGTGGAGGAGTAATTTTGAGAAGCTTTATAATGATGATCATGCGATAGAGTTTGACGATCTTAGATCATAAAAAGAACCTAATGTGATGTATACAAGAGGAATTAGAGTCTTGGAAGTTAAAACTGCACTATGAAAAATGAAAAAAGGGAAGGCATGTGGGCCAGATGATATTTCAATAGAGGTTTGGATGGCGTTAGGAGATGTTGGAATTGTGTGGCTCGCTAAGCTTTTTAATGAGATATTAAAGAAGAAGCGTATGCCTGATGCATGGATGAAAAGTATTCTTGTCCCCATCTTTAAGAATAAAGGAGATGTGTTAAATTGTAATAATTATAGGGGCATAAAGTTAATAAGCCACACTATAAAACTTTGGGAGAGAGTTATTGAAAGGAGATTAAGGGCCACAACTACCATTTTAGATAACCAATTTGGCTTCATGCTAGACAGATAATCCACAAAAGCCATTTTTCTTCTTAGGATGCTAATGGAAATGTACAAAGAAGGCAAGACGGACCTACATATGGTCTTTATAGATTTAGAAAAGGCATATGATAGGGTACCGATGGAAGTGTTATGGCGGGTGCTAGAAAAGAGATGAGTGCATGTGAGGTATATTAAGGTAATTAAGGAGATGTACGATGGGGTAGTCACGAGTGTGAGAACTGCTGAAGGCTACATGACAGAGTTTTCTATTCGGATCGGCCTTCATCAAGGATCTGCTCATAGTCTTTATCTTTTCACCATTGTGATGGATGAGCTGATGAGAGAAATCCAAGATAGAATTCCTTGATGTATGCTTTTTGCGGACGATATAGTTTTAATTGATGAACATAAGGAAGGAGTTAACCGTAAATTAGAATTGTGGAGACAGACTTTTGAGACGAAGGGATTTAAGTTAAGTAGGACAAAAATTGAATACATGTATTGTAGGTTTAGTAACTCAAGTAATTAGAGTGATGAAATTTTTTTAGATGGTGTCGAGATTGGGGCTTCTAAGAAGTTTAGGTACCTTGGGTCTATAATGCAATACGAAGGAGATATAAAAGAAGATATTCAACATAAGATTAAGGCAGGGTGGGTTAAGTAGAAGAATGTTACGGGAGTTTTATGTGATGGCAAGATGCCTATTAAGTTAAAAGGAAAGTTGTATAGGACTGCAATCTACCCAGCTATGTTATATGGTAGTGAATGTTGGGCCATTAAGAGACAACATATATCTAAGATGAGTGTGGTAGAAATGCGTATGTTAAGATGGATGAGTGGCCATACGAAATGGATCGCATAAGGAATGAAGTTATTCGTAGTAGAGTAGGTGTAGCACCAACAGTGCTGAAACTTTGGACGGGCCGCCCGTGACCACCGAAAAGTCTGAATTTTTGCCCGATGACCGAACCCGATCTGCCCGAAAATTCAGGTTGCCCGACCCGACCCAAAAATTCCTATGGACGGGTTTCAGGCAGAGGAAGCCTGCCCGTGCCTGGTCGGGTTGTCCGATGCCCGATCGGCTACCCGAAATTTTTTTTTTTTTTATATTATATTTTTATGTTGTTGAAATAAGTATTTGTATAATTACAATGTGTAATTGTGTATATTACAATTTGAAATATGAAATGAACACACGACATGAACGAACTATATAAAAAAAATTACTTCTTCATTGATTTTTAAATTTGTAATTCATGATTGCCTCATTAAAAATCTTACCAAGAAAAATTCAATTGGGATAAAAACTTAGTAAGGAAAAAAGAGTGCAATCATTGTGGGACGAATTACAAATTTGATGAACTTATAAAGTCTATACAAGATTACAAATTACAATAAACACTATACAAATTAGAAATTATAAAGTAAATAAATATTTACAAAGAAATTATCAAGATGAAGCAGAATGATCATCTTGAAAATTAAAAGTTAATCTATTAAATTCGTCGATCCATTCTTGGTTTGCCGGTGAGATTGTATCATGTAAGCGTTGGTCGGAACGGTCCCAATCCTTGATGCACACCAAAGCTTCAACAATATCCTGCTGCAATGCGTTTCTCCGTTCTTCAAGTATTCGGCCGGTTGTACTGAATGAGCCATCACTCAGGTACGCCATTAACTCGTTGAATCCGCCGCCACCTCTTGATGAAGATCCACTTTCACTCCCAGATTCTTCTTGACCTTGACTCCTCGTCGTCGTCTTCTTCTCCTTCTTCGTAGACAACCTGAAAACATTCAAGAATGAATGCGGATTGTCGTCTCGTTGTTGCAGTTGTTCAACACGAGGTGTGTTTCCAAACCTACTTTCGTAAGAGATATATAGAGAATATATTTTTTCCTTTATAATAGGAAACTGATCAGTAGTGTCTATAGTTAAAAATTCACCTAAGTTATCTAATCCACTTTTTAAACCTTCTAATTTTAATCTAGAGTAAAAAATAACACCGAAATCATACAACATGGGTAATTTAGATAAAATTTTTTAAATTTTTTTTTTATAGAGGCAATAGGAACTCCTAAAACCTCATGTGTTCTAAATTCACTAAATAAAATAGACATTCTTAAAAGTTCTCCTAATGCTAATGGTGAAGTTGGGTAATAAGTTTCACTAAGCTTTAAGGTAACTTCATGAAATCTACTTAAAAAGTTATACAAAAATTCGGCAATTTGCCAATCAGTTTCATCTATAAATCCTGTTCTTAATTTTGCACTAACATAATTTGTTATAGTATCTTTATAGGGGATGCATTGTTCAAGCATTATGTAAGTGGAGTTCCATCTTATGGGCATATCTAAGGCTAATGCTCTAAGATTTTGATTACATGCTTGTAGAAATCTAAACCAATCTTGTATTCTTTGATTACTATCTTGAATCCAAGCAATGTTATCTCTAATTCTTTTAATATGACCTGACATTGATTTTAAACCGGACTTTACTATTAAATTAATTATATGACATGCACAACGTTGGTGGAAAATATCATTATTACTAAATAAACTTAAATTATTTTCAAAAAGTTCTATCGCTTTAGTATTTGCAGTTGCATTATCTAATGTTAGGGCCATTATTCTATCTCTTAAACTATATTCATCAATAACAGATAAAATTGTGTTATATATTAAATTGGCAGTATGTGATCCTATAACACATTTGAAACTTAAGATTCTCTTATCCAAATCAAAACCTTTATAATAATGTCCGGTTACAGTTAAATAATCCTTGTTGACAACGGCGGATTAAATATCCGCCGTTAACGCAACGCAATCACTAGTAGAGTGTAAAAGGTTGATTAATGTTTCATTTTCTTGTTTATATAATTTTAATGCATCTTTCCTAAGAGTAGTTCTAGAAAAAAATTGTGCATTAGGATTATGTACAATTTTAATATAACGTTGTCAATTTTTTTGTTCAGGAAAACTTAGTGGTTGATCTAATGTGACTATTAATCGTGTCATTTCTATACGATCAACTTGCGGATCGTATTTTCACGTGCTTAGACCGCCGGTTTGGCAGTCAAACGATAATTGTGTTTGGCGGAGTTGATCTCCGCCTCCTTACTTTTGAAGACACTTTTCAAAGTGCCTTCTTAAGTGTGTAGTGCCGTGAATAGTGTTACCTTGTAATTTCTCACCACAATATTTACATTGAGCTACGTATTTAATGTTACCGTTATTGGCGACGTCCTCGAATGTGTTGAAGTGCTCTCAAACTTCTGAGGTGCGCTTGCATTTCTTCTTAGAACTTGCAACACTTGCACTAGCACTACCGTTTGCCTCTCCTCCACGGCCACTTGTGCCACCAACATTGCGTCCCCGACCTCTAGTACGTCCACCATGGGTCGGATTTGCAGTTTGATCAGCATCTCTTTCCATAGTTTGCGATTCTTGCGATTGAAAAACATTAAGAAATTGCCCTTTTTTGATGTTGAATTGGGCATCAATAGGAATATCACCACCACCACCGTGACTAGAAGAAGCCATTATGAAAAATAAGAGAGATTGAGAGCGCTTTGAGAGAGCTTAAGAGAGATCGAGATTCGAGAGAGATTTAAGTGAGATTTGAGAGAGATTAAGAGAAATTGAGAGAGATTAAGAGAAATTGAGAGAGAATGAGAGTTTTGGGGTGAGAAAAATGGTTGGGGGGAGAGGAGTATTTATAGGAAAATTTTTAGGTTGAAAAAAAAAAATTTTCCCTAAAAAATTCGGGTCCAACGGCTATAAAATTTTCGGGTAGGTCGGGCAAAATTCGGGCAGTTCGGGCAACGGATAAAAATCCGACCGTTTGGTTCAAAAATTCGGGCAAAATTCGGGTTCGGGTTCGGGCAAAAGACCGTTTTTTTTCAAAATTCGGGCATTTTCGGGCTAACGGTAAAAAAAAATCGGGCATTTTTTGGGCACGGGTCGAAATTCAGGCAACGGTCACGAAAATTTGGGCAACGGTCACAAAAAATTCGGGTAATTCGGGCAAAAATTTGGGCAGTTCGGGTATTTGCCGGAAAATTAAAAAAAAATCCGGCGAACGGCGGGGGAAGGCTTCTCCACGGCGGCGGGCTGTCGGGGGGCTTACCATTTTCGGGCTCCTCGAGCCCGTGCCCGAAGAAAAACATTTTCGGGCGGCGAGAGGGGCCTGCCCGCTGTGCCCGAAAATTTTCGGGCATCGGGCATGCCCGCCGCCCGAAAGTCCAACACTAAGCACCAATAGAGATAAGGTGCGCGAAGGCCGTTTGAGGTGGTACAGGTATGTCCAACGTAGACCGTTAAAAGCACTAGTTCGTGCTTGAGAGGGCATTCTTATACCTAATACTAGGGGGGGGGGGGGGGGGGGGGGGGGCGCGGGGGGTGGGGTAGACTAAGAATTACGTGGACTGAAATAGTTAGGAAAGACATTTTAGATCTAGGCTTTTAGGAAAGCCTAATTTCGAATAGAGTTGCGTAGAAAAATGAAATCCATATAGTCGACTTCAATTAAGTTGGGATTAAGGCTTGTTGTTGTTGTTGATTCTTTTTTCAACTTGATATTGCATCAGGTGAACTGTTTGGTAATTTGGAGATTCTATTCCCTGGGCGGCAAGTTGTTTTATTTCTTTTCCATGGATATTTCTTCGTAGTTTCTCACGAGCCTGTTGGTTTATAAAGTTGTCCTCTTCCTCTTGGGGCTGAAAACAGAACAGTTTTTAATGAATACTTGTAAAATGATGAGAAAACACTAAAACACAAAGAGAAAGCAGAATGCTTTTATTATTCTGTATAATTTTGTTATTGAATGCCTACGCATTGTTTTAAACCTCCAATTTTATAAAGGCTAAAATGGTACTTTTAAATTGTATTTTGCTTGAAAAGATTTTGCCCAGTGGTCCATATATATATATGTACATATTACAATAAATAATGCGTATTTTGATGTAATAAGCACCAATTAAGCGCTTAAAATGAATAAATTATATGATTGCTAATTAATTTGTTTTTTTTTTTGTTTTTTGTTTTTTTTTCGCCAACAGCCAAGGAGGGGCTGCTTTGAGATCCGGGAGAAAGGTGGGGAGACTTTCATCAGTCTTTTGGTAAGTTTTCCTTAGTCTTGTATCTTTATGAATTGTCTAATGTCACTTTAAGCAATTACTTTGCATTTCAATACTTCCTTACGACCACATGTATTCTTATGATGTCATTTATTTCGTTTTCCTCACTTAGATTTAAGTTTTCAAGGTATCTCTTACACTCCGAGTAGGATTACATTCTGCGTAAATGAACTATATTTCAAGATTTGCATGGCAGCAAAAATCTGTTGGAAAACGCATGAAGGAACTATGAAACGTATGAAATGTACTCCCCGAGTAGTATCGTTTATTTTTATTTTTTATTTTTTTGAAGCAGCACCTATTGGTATCAAGACTAACCTCAACTAATCAATCATATGATTATGTTTGTGAAAAAGTATTATTGCTACCACCCCAGTTTGGAAGCAATCATGCATCGAACTGTTAATTTAGCATTTGGTTGCTTTCCATATCAGAATAATAGAAACTTTGACTACATAACATTCTTTCTATACGCTGGTTGTAGTCCTAATCTTGGTCTGATAGTTTGTCATGCTTACTGGTGTGTCTGGCTTATCCAATTTTCATCTCGAATAAATATGTACAACAGTTATTTCAAGGATTTTGGATCCATTGTCACTGTGGAACGATCATTTCGTTGTTGTTCCTTAGATTACAAGCAGTCTTTTTTGCTCTTCTATTTTCATGGAAATTGTGGCTTTATTTAATTTTTCGGTAGATATTTTATGTTGCTGTTACATTGAGCAGCTTTTCAGCTTTTCGGCGAGTTAATGTATTTGTGGATTTTGTTTTGTAGGAATTGAAGCGACCATTCAAGCCGATGAAGGATCTGGACATGAATCAAGTCATTGATGATATCATTGGCAAGATTAATTGATGGGCACTTGCAACTTGCGGTGCAGTGTTAGGATTATCACATAAATCTTTTTGTGGCATTGGGCTGATATTGAGTTTAATCCGGTTGCCTCGACATTAAAATCTTCACCATAGATTTCTCTGATCTAGTTTTTGACATTTCTCTGTTTCTAATTTCAAGGCATGTAAAGCAGTAGACATGCATTTAACGCAGGCATGTATGATGAATCGATGCATACAAGTGAATTTTGGTGGTGATGGTTGTAGCAAATCAAGTCCTTTTGTATTGCTCCTTGAAGCAAACTCGGTGAAGTCCAATTGCAGGATAATTCAAACTTCAAAGCTGTGGATTATTGACACTTTTTTAGTGTGTTTGATATCATTGTAGCCGAGCAATTGTATCGTCCATTCCTTGGGGACTCAATTATTTTTTATTTTTTGAAATGGGAGTCAATATCTTCTCGAGTATTGTTTGATGCAGGTTTTAGTTACTTGTTACGTGTTATCAACTTATCACCATTAGTTCATTACATCTTTGCAGACATGAGAGTAATGGGAGCTGCAAAATAGGAAAGTGTTCCATCCGGATTAATGTAGGTAACTTGAATTGCGACATAGGTGATTAGGCCTTTCTCTTCTTAACAAGTTGGTTCTTAAAGATCAGTGGTTTTGTTTTGTTTTGTTTTTGTTTTTGTTTTATGTTTTATGTGGAGGAGTGACCACTCGTGATTACTTACATAGGACGTGACTATTAGTGTCTGCATACTTAATAAATACTTGCATTTAGTCGTAATTATTAGAGACAAACGTGAAAAGCTTAATAAATTAATTTTTTTATCAAGGATCAATAAACATTGAGTTAGTAATATATAGTCTTCACATGGAACTTAAAACTTGAGACCTTGCATTTACCAAACCACCAAAAGCTAAGTACAATGTGATTAGGCTTCCATCTTGATGGTTCTTGAGGATTATTTGTTAGGGTACTGCCATTGCCCAAAATATCGAATTTATCGCCTTAATTTTGGTATGTAAGTGGTTGTTTTTCTTTTCTCTTCCTCTTCTGTTACTAATTTGCTTTTTATTTTGCTAGAACTGTAATTAAGTTGTTTATTAAGCGCATGTTTTGTGCCTTGTGTTGTTGTGATTCCTGCGCAAGATTAATGCACATTTTTTTTGCTGAAAAAGTATAGAAAATTACTCAACTTTCTTTTAGAGTACATATTTGATTAATATAATTATTGAATTAAAAATATATTAATTAAAAGTAAGAATTAAAAATTCAGACATGTATTTAAGTGATATTTGTCTCATTTTTCAGTTAAAAAGTGTTTGCTTTAGGCCCCCAAATGCGACCGAAATGGTAATAATCTTTTCCCTTTTTTTTTTTGGGTAAAAAAACATGGTAATCCTTTGATTTTGAGGTAGAAAAGCAGTAAAAAAAATGCTAATATTTTTTCTCACTCATGAAATAAAGCAGAAAATACGGTAATGCTTATCTATAATAGCATAATGCACTGGCAATGCTTATATACAATAACATAATGCATTCTCATTCTTTTTCCTTATTAAGCAATCAAAAAAGCGAGAATAAACCGATGATCACTCCAACACCAACGACAGAGCCCACCAGAGCGCTCCCAGAACCAGACTTCTCAGATTCCGGAATTTCCACCGCTACACCGGCATCGGGAACTTCCGGATCCGGAGAATAGCTCACCGGAGCATCACTCGGTGCCTTCACATCAGCCTCCAGGGCATCAGCCTCCGGAGAATCATCCGCCGGCCCATCAGCCTCCTCGTCATCTGACACCGGTCCCGGATCCTCCGCCGGCGCAGGCGGCGATGGAGGACTAGGGTTCGGGTCGACCCCGTGCGGGACAATCGGCGAGCTCACATGAAGGACGGAAATGTTGTGCGGCCGAACCGCGACGGAGCCAACGACCTTCGCAACGAGCGGGGAGCCCTCAACGGCCGAGCCGAAGGCGATATTCTGGCCGTTGTCGGAGACGGAGACGTTGACGAATCCCTGGCAGTCTTTTGCCTTGCCGGTGGCCTGGAAGAGCGTGGCGAAGACGGAGCCGCTCCGGTGGTCCTTGACGATGTAGCGGAGCTTAGGGAGGCCGAAGAAGTCGAGGACAATGTGGACGCTAAGAATGTCTTTGATGACGTCGAGGGGTTTTCCGGCGAGGGAAGTTGAGATGGCGTCGTTGTTGAGAGCGAGGACGGTTATGGTCTGGCGGTGGTTGATGATTTCGGAGAGTTTTGTTCGGGTGAGGAGGTCGTTGAAGGCGCCGAATTCAGGGAAATGGCCGAGGAGCCTTGTGATGTTGAAGGGGGCGGAAGTGGAGGCGGCTGAGGCGGCAGAGAGGAGGACGACGGTGGCTACGAGGAGGAGAAGGGGAGAAGTGGGTTTGAGAGTCATATTTTAGTTTTTTCTCCCCCTTATTTTGGGGAAAAAAATGTTGATTAGGGGAAGATTATTGGAGGGGGTGATTTGATAAAACAAATTATTAAGGTGCAATTTATGGTGGAGAGAGCATAACGGATGGGATTTGCTAAATTTGCATTTTGGTGTGATGATGAGCGTGTAGATTGATCATGAATGATTTCATATTCAACTCAATGTACGTGCATGGTTGTTAAGTTAACTTTGGTCATATTGACTTGTTTCTTAATTTTGGTATGGTAATAAGAAGGTACGAAACTAGGATATAAGGATATTGTAATTTATTTATTTTTTCCTTTTTTTGTTGCTAGATATTGTAATTATACCGAAAATAGCTAGACAAGTGATAACTTATTGGCAGCTAGAGGTTTCACCAACGGATCCCGCAATATGAAACTTATGAGGGGTACTCACTTTTTATTAGTGATAATGTTTAGCATTGATTAGGTCCTAAATATTTTTCTTCACGATAATAATTTACACTTCATCAATCATGTAACTTATTATAAGTCAATTTAACTTGCTCCTATTTAGCAAACAATACACTTCATCAATCATATATGTTTTGTAGTCATAACTTATTATAAGTCGATTGAACTTGCTTCTGTTTGGCAACAAAGCTGGCAAATGGGAATAAGCGAGCTGGCAAACAATTTATCCAAAAAGAAATTATCCAAATATCGTCGCTAAAAACCTTTGCAGTGAACCAAATCGTTGCCGAGTGTCTTCGCAGAAAGTAAACATATTTAACGACGACATTTTAATTTATTTTTCTCATCACCAGTGTATAAAACTATATTATCATCAATAAAATCAAACAAAAAACAAATCATCATCAACGCATATATCCTTTCATCACCATTATACATAACAATCATAAAATCAAATAAAAAATCATCAAGACACATAATATTCACCATCACATATTCATTATTGCCATTGCATAACAATGGACTATCACATAAACAAACTTACTAATACATGTAGAGGCGTACCGCAACAGAGACGAATGGCTGCGGAATATTGATGTCCGTCGACAACAGATACTACTTTTTCCAACAAATTATCACTATTACATTCTCAATAACCAATACGATATTTTTATCTCTAATTTCCACTAAAACATGTAACAAAAGCATATATGTATATCTATACCATATAACTAAAGTTGAGTAAGTTTCGGCCGAAAGTCTCTAATTGTATAAACGCTTGACACCGTTTTTTCGTTGTTGTCTTTATTTCTTTTTTTCTTTCTTTCTTCTTTCTCTCCTTTTTTAACAATTTGTATAACTATTAGTGTGTGTCTATATATATATATATATATATATATAAATATATTATGAATATACTTTTTCTTACGCTGTAATAATAGCATAAGACTTATATAAGTAGTGGTGATGGCAAAAGTACAATTAGCCAAAGTTTATATTATCACCTATTAATACACTCGTATGAGGAGATATTTTGATGCAAAGTTAACTAAAGAGTTTATAGTCATTATTGTTCATTATAAGCTTATAACTCATAATCACGCACCAAAAGTACAAGAGGTTTGGTCCTCTCTTGGTTACTGAATTTCCGTTGGACCTGTACATTCTTTCAGTATATCGATCATCACCATCACTAACGAACATTCTATTTACTGCCGGTTTAGTTTATAAGTTTAAAAGAAAATATAAATAGAAATTCAAAATTTTGTATCGAAAAAAATGTAACAAAAACGTTTAAAATGTAGGTCAAATCCGAGAAACAAACAGGTTATTAGGTTTTAAAACATAATGCAAAACTAAAAAAAAAAAAAGAAAAAAAAAACAAAATTTCGGTTACGTTTTATCATCCCAAAACCATCATACTTGCCATTTTTTTAACAACTTAACTAAACTCAAACTGAATATTTCAGTTAATTAATCTTGAAATTGGTAAAACTATACAACATTAAGGCCTCTATAAGACTATAATTAGTAAAGCTACCGAATAATGCATTCTGACCAAACCAAATAGATCCATATAATCCTCCAAATTACGTGATCAAATTCAACATTTTTTCACCATATCCAATATTCTTTTAACTCATTTCTTATAATTAGCACAACAATAGAGAAATTCACTCCCAACCCTTCAACCCTAACTTCCACAATTTGAACTAGTCTCTCTCACATAGCACTGTTCTTAACATCTCCTATAATTATTTATATATAAAATCCAATCAAAACCCATTTTCCACAAACAGGCTTTTGCAAATAAATTACCATTAAAATTAATAAATAGCCCTAATAATGAAGAACCCTAAAGCCTCTCCTCTCCTATTCCTATCTCTTCTTTTGCTCCTTTTATCCTTTTCCTCAGCCTTCAACATCACAAAAATCTTGTCCCAACACCCCGAATTCGCAACTTTTAACGGCTTTCTCTCGCAGACGAAGCTCGCCGACGAGATCAACCGCCGCCAGACCATCACCGTCCTCGTCGTCGACAATGCCGCGGCCTCCAGTTTATCCGGTAAGCCGCTTGACGTCGTCAAGAAGATCTTGAGCGTTCATGTCATTCTAGATTACTACGACGTTGAGAAGTTGACCAAGCTTGGAATCTCCAACAAGACCTCAGCCCTAACCACGCTCTTGGCCGGCGCGGGCGCGGCCGACCAGCGGGGTTTCATCAACGTTTCGCTCGTAAACGAGGGCGAAATCGCCTTCGGCTCCTCCGCCAAGGGCGGAGCCCTAAATTCCAAGCTGGTCGAGTCTGTGGCGGCGCATCCGTTCAACATCTCGGTGCTTCAGATAACCGCCCCGGTCCAAGTCCCCGGCATCGAATCCACCCCCGTCGGCACCCCGCCTCCGAAGCCCTCTGCCGCTCCTGTACCAGCACCGAAGAAGTCCCCCGCTGCTGCACCGGCCAAGCCAGTGGCTCCTGTCCCGTCGAGGAAATCCGGCGCTCCGGCACCTTCGGAGGTTGTGATTGAAGTGCCGGTGGAGGCCCCGATTTCAGATGCTCCCTTCGCCGATGGGCCGGAGAGCGATGCACCGGTTACCGACGCGCCGGTGAGCTCTCCTCCGAAACCCAAGGACACCGCCGATGCCGAAGCGCCGACGCAGAGGATTATAGCTTCGGGCGGTTCACGGAGGGAAATGGCGGTCGGAGTTGGAGTGTTGGCGGCGGCGTTGGTGTCATGTTTTGTGGCTTAATTTAATTTGTGATATTGATGACCAATTAATGGGGGGAATAAGAAGAATTGATTAGTACGTTAATCGTGGATTAATGAAAGGGGAGGATACGTACGTGCGTGCATACAAAATTGTTTTTTTTTTTTTTTTGAATGTTCATGAGGAAAAAAAAAACAACGTAGTATTTAACGAACTACTATTTTCGAAAGTTACTGGGTGATCTTGTCGCAACATATAGCTGTTTTTTAATTCTTTTTCGTTGTACATTATAGAAATTTGGACATTTAAGAATTTGATGTTTCATCTTTTAGCCAAACTGTTGATAAATACAAATTAATTTTATTTTTTTTATTTAAAAAAAGCCAAACCAACAAAAGAAAAATTAAACTAAAGGAAACAGATTGTGCTGCTTTAGTTTAGTTTTTTAAACAGAGGTTGTTATCCTTAAATACGTTAATATCTTAGATCACAAGTAACTACTTCCCAGGTTCATTCCACTTTAAAACGATTTCTGATATTTGACTGTTTTAAGATTTCAAGTAATTGTAATTCTCACACTATATAGGATGTTATATATATGTGTGTATTTATATATGAGAAAATGTACACGTAATATCCAATAAAAGGTGGATAATTAGTATTGGATTAAAAAGTGAATTAATATGATAAAAAATATTATACTAAGCTTTCCGAGACCTCCTTCTCGGTTCCAATGGCAGACTCTTCTCGGACGCCCCATCTCCTCCCCAAGTTTCTTTTTCTCCGTCGACTCCGGTTCCTCCGCCTTCTGGTCCAAACACTTCGGCTCCGTCGTCGTTGAATCAGAAAGAGCTAGCTAAGTTCTTCGCCATTGCCGAAACCTGGTGAGCTCGCTGTTCTCTGTTTGATTTGGAAATTGGAATTCAATGAACTATTGAGAAGATTCTTAAAAATTCACATTTTTTTTTGTATTTGTATTTTCGTGGTTTAATAATTGTGCGTCTTTCCTCTAGGACGCCATTGAAGAGTAAAGAAAGCTTTACAAACAATGTGGGCAAAGCTAAAACAATCTATGTCAGGAGACGACGACGACGAGGGCGGAGGCGACGCTTTATTGGACGATGAATCCGACAACTTTTTCTCTCTTTCTCAAACTCAGGTACCTTTTGAGTTTGAGATGCAAAAAAATTTAATCCCCGGATTTTTATTTTTCATTTTTTTTTTCAATTACTGGCTTGGTGGGGTTTTCTCTAGTTTTGGCCTCAGAATGCTTTTTGGTTTTCTGGGTATTGACTTGATCAGAGAATTTATGCATTCACTGCGTGTTTGCTCGCTGGATTGGTTTGTATGTTCCTGGTATGAGTTCCTGAGCACTTCTATTTTACTTATTCAAGCAATTGGGTAACTTTTTTTATATATATGTTCAATTTTGTTTTAATCCAAAATTTAGAGTTTACAATCTTATGCAAATTGCAATTTCTGAGTAACTAATCAAGAAAAACAACAAAGTTTATACAAAATCCACATACCATTGAGTATGAAAATTTTGTTTATTTCCCTATAAATAGCCCGGTTAAATTATTCTTACATAGAGCATTTGATCATGGAGTGTTTTTGGTTTAGAGCTTCTAGAGTTATTTTATAGTCTTCTGATAACAAAATTGTGGCTTTTTTTTTTTTTATTGCCAAAGAAATAATTAGTCCTACTGAAGATCAAGAGAAAGGAGTAATTATATGTTACTTTTCTTGGGAGAGTTAAGATAGATTTGCATTCATCATTTTATAGTTTTCAGGCTTAGAAAGGTGATGTTAAAATGGATTGTTGATGCAGTTGCAGCCTTATAACTTTCTTTCACTTCCTTCGCAGTCGATGATTGTCTTCGCAAAACCAATCAAATTCGCCTTGTTATTCACCTTTGGCAATGTTTTGGCAGTTGGAAGGTGGGTCTGCAGCTTATTTCTTCTTATTTCCATGGTTTAGATCACCATGATCTTATGTATTTAGAATATCTCCCATAAATGAAAGATCTTTGCATGTTCAATAGCTTTTGTTCAGTGGGTGGGCTGATGTCCGCTACTATTACGAGACACAGGAATAGGTTGCCATATGATCGCATGTATTTGTGTTACACAAGAATTAAAACCTTTCCTCCTATTGTGTCTATCATTTTCCTTCCCTTTTGTTCCCTTGGGAATTAGATACTAAAACTTTAATTGCTCTTTGGCAGCACAACCTTCCTTATTGGCGCTGGGAAACAAATGAGAATGATGTTTGACTCCGCCCGAGTTTATGCAACGGCTATTTATCTTGGATGTGTTGTTCTAGCACTCATCTGTGCCTTTTGGGTTAGTATTCAGTCTTAATTCTATAACAAAATGGAAAGAACTTGAGTTAACACTGCAGATCCATAGGTTTTTCAATTATGGTATGCTATGGTAAAAATACTTTCTGCTTCACATTTTCCTCTCATCTTGCAGATACATAGCAAGATTTTAACAATACTCGCGATCATTGTTGAGATCTGTGCCCTTGTTTGGTAAGTTTGCCCCTTCACATTGACACATCTCACCTCTTTCGCTACTATGATCATGATGGAAATGGGGAGGAATGATTGTTGAGTGTGTGGAAAACTAGAGCCTATCATTATCTTGACATAGAATTAGAACGAGTTTTCAATGGTTAGTTTTTATGATGGTTACCCATTAAATATATGAATCATTTATATTTGATGATGTGACTTGATAAAAATTTAATATATATATATATATATATATATACGTATATAGATATAAAAAAGACTTTTGCTAATTGGGTGGCTTTTTGCAGGTCAAAGAGATGGCCGGATTTGCTTACAACCCCTTGGGCCTTGACCATGAAGATGGTCTCTTTCTGATGACATCAGTGTAAATTTCATTGTATATGGTACAAAAACAACCTCCGAATAAATATCTGAAGAATTTTACTATTGGTTTTTTCTTTTGTTTCTGAATATGTGAAATGTTTCGATTAAAGAGATTATTTCACAACCTGTTGTTCATCTACATTTTTCCCGTCTAAAAGGCACAATCGTCTTTGTTTTGTAAAATAAACGTTTGTCGTTCATATAAATAACATTGAAATGAGGATTTTTTTTTTTTTTAATGAATGATTGAATTGTATGAACAGACACACACAAGCGTAACGTGATCGAATTGTCTTTGGGAATTGAGATTGATAAAGAAAACGGAATATTACATCACCCGTTATTCCGTATCGTTATCTTCTCGTGCTGAGAATTTATTTATTTTATAACTAAAATTGAGCTTCCCAAGACCACCAAATTACCGCGTTGAGGTTAAAGTTATATTTTTCAGGGAACATATCATGGTAAATGCCAAAAGTTATCATATTTGAGTTTATAATAATTTATTATTACATAAAAATATCAAATATTATTTTTTTTACAATTGAAATATAGTTTTTAAATTATTATCCTTCAAATAAAAAGTTTTTTCCAGTAATTAAATTAATCAAGGGTATTTTTGTCAAAATACAGTTTATTTTTATTCTATTTTGTTGTCAACCGAACAACATAATTCTCATTCGGGTATTAATTTCATAGCTCCAATTAAACAAAATAATCAATTTATGATTCCAATTTCCAGTACATTCTAATTTCATTCCATTACTATTTCTACAACCAAAGGCACCCGCAAGAAAAAGAAAAAAGACTAAGAAAGAAAAAATGTGGGCTTTTGTCTTTGACGATTGGGCCCATGGATTGGTACTATCTATGGGCCTACATCCTACAAGCCCAATCCTCTGAGAGGGAGTGATCATTCCACCTTCCTATAATTTGTTGATCCAGAGGAAAAAAAAACAATTTTTCTTTTATTGGGACGATAACAACACCCTTCCATGTGTTTAATCAAAATATAAAAATTCACCTTATCTTGTAGTATCGAAAATATTGAATTTTTCCTGCTTTTACAATCACAAAATCCACCATCGACATTTTCTAGTTTCGCAAATTTTGTTATTCGGTTTAGTCACAATTAATTGCGAGAAAAAAAAAAAAACTATTTTGTCATACATAAAAAAAAAAGATAGCACATTGGAACCGAAAACCAAGAAGTTTGTCAAGTATAAATAAAACAGTTCTTCAAAAACATGGAAGTTGATTATCCAAAAATTTTAGCAAAATATTAATATCAGGATTTTATTTTCTTCATATAACCATGATTTTTTTTTAGAAAGAGCAACAGTGTACCTTTGCAAGTACTAGTGTCAACTAAACCTAATTTCAGGGGTGGATTAATTATATATGATTAGAAAAATACATCAATGAATTTTGTTTGATTGGGAAAAAAAAGCTAAATATAATAAAAATCCATGCACTTTAATTAATGCATGAAAATTTATATATTGTTTTAATTCTCTATCAATTTTATACTTGAAAAACACAATTTTCTTTCTTATTCTTTCTCAATAAACAATGACAATAATTAGCGTCCTAGATCATGAAAAAGCTTCAAGGTGTGGTAGTGCATATGGCACCAAATGAAGGGGACAAAAAACGAAAGGTAATAGCAGTTTTGATCGATCTATTTTTTTCCCGATGTTTTCTCATTGGCAACGTCCTAATAAAACAATCATGCATGTGGAAAAAATATATAATTTTTTCTTGAAGTTCAAAAATTTATATAAGTTTTGTAGTTTGGATTTTTTCAGAAAGTTATCAAGTTATTGTGAGCCTCTTGATAAATAACATGATGGATAAAAAGTGTAATAAACTCATATGCTTGTTCAATCAATGCTTAATTGTGAGTAATATACAACAATGCCCTCAAAGGAAAAAAAAATAAAAGTTTTTATTTTTTAGAAAAAAAAAAAGAAAACATAAAAAATTGTTATGAGAAAAAAGTTAAGATGTGTGACTTGAGATTTTTTTGTATTTTTCAATTTTTTATTTTTAAAAGACATTTTTATCTTTTAAATGGTTTAAAATTGACTATTAATCGGTATAAGATTATTATTTTTTTATATTGATTAGTTTCAAAATAAATGATATAGTATCTAAATAAACTCAAATATAGAGTCCATATGTAAATGTCTCTTTATAATAAACAAATATTGCAATGTCCCAAATGAAAATAATTTGTGTTTTTCCTCCTGAAATTTTTTCCTTTTCCATTTTCACTTGAGGGCTCGATCGATCTATCTACTCAACGACTCAATGCATGCAACTATGATCTAGCCAATAAACATTAGACAAGTCCATGCATCTGGACAAGTGCATGCATCTCTCACTTACGGATCACCAAATTAAATAAAATTGCAAGCTAAGATCCTTCTTGAAGAGAAGATGATGATCTCCATGTAACCAAAATTATCTATCAGCAATAATTGAGAAGCTTATAATTAATTAATTAGATACATTCTTAAGCCACTATTATTTGTTTGATGCTTGTCTTACGCGGTATGTCTCTCTTCTTTTTTTTTTTTTTAAAAAAAATTGCGTTGAGTTTTATTGTTAAATTATTTTAAAGAGAGATTTTGAGTTGTATTTAAGACATTGTTAAAGTTAATATAAAAGGAATTGATGCTTCTATGTTCTTTTTATTCTTCTTCTTCTTCAAAAATCTATGCTCATTTTATTCTAATTGCCTTCTATTCGTTCTTTTTGATGGGCATAATTAGCATCATCATCAAAAATAGTGTTATTAACTAAATAACCAGCTAAGCTAACCATAGCCATGTTCAATATTGTAGCCTTTTTTCATTTCAACTTTTGCAATATTCCTCTAATTATGCTAGATTATCCCTCAGTATATATAACCAATTCGACTTATTCCTAACACTTTCACTATTCCCTTTTTTGCTCTTTATAGTTATGATACTTAAAATACATATGAAGTATATATCCCGGACCCGCTCGCCATAAATGGCTTAATTAACTAATATGCATATTATATAATTTGCTTAAGGAACTGGTCGCTTTACGTTATAGATTTAGTTTAATTTTGTGTGTATATGTAAATATATATATATAATATATTATATATATGTTAAAATGGGGTACATATCCCCCAAACAAAGGACGAATCAATAGAGTCTCCATATAGCCAAAAGGTCCCAAAAAATAAAAAATAATAACAAAAATAAAGAAAGAATCTCTCTCTAAAAAACAATACTAGTTGATCCTAGCCAAAACGCACGCCACCAAAAACAGAGAAGATTTTCATATGATAATGTTGTTTAGGCAAGAAGCACTATAGTTTAAAACTCTATTAATATGATGCGTCATGTCATCTAGACAGGTACAATCTCATGGACACAAATCAAATTAGTAAAATTACGTATGTCAAAAGTATTCATATATTGGTATGTTATAGAGATGAAAAGAAAAAAAGCAATAGGACTCTTCTTTAAAAAATTACTAAATATTTCCAGAAAAGTCACCCAATATATTTGCTGAGCATGATGAGTTTATTGAGTACCATATTACCTTTTATAATAGTTTAATATCCTTTGTCATTGGTAGCTTTTGGTCTAATCACTCACTGTATTAATTAATTACGTAGTAGTTTATCCAAGTATATTTTAAATTATCAGAGTCTTTAAACAATCTTTGTGCCTAATTCTGATTCCAAGTAATTATTATTTTTTCTCCAATATTAGTGTTGAAAATTTATAATGCTTCTATTTGGAATTCTCCTCTTTAAATTTGTTAATAATAGTTGTCAGTTTAGTGCCGGTTCTTTTTTTTTTTTTTTTTTTTTTTTGCTAGAATGCCAGTATTGTTGTGATGTGAGTACGTATATGATCTTTGATGTGTGATAAAAAAAAAAAGATGTAGTATAATTTGGATTGTCTATAATTGATCATTGCTTTATTCTTAAAATTCCAATTATAAAAACCAAAGTTTATCACCACATAACCTTTACTAAATCAAAGGTTGACACAAGAAGTTAATGGGAATTAAAAATGCAAAATTAACTTTAAGCATCATTCTACAATATGATATATTTATGATGTGAACCTCGTTATAATTGGTTTCAGGCAAAAGACTTTCTTTTATCCGTATAGATGAAGTTTTTGGGGTATATATGATTCTCTTTTATCTATGTTAGGTAGTGACGAGTACGACATATATAAATATATATATTTTTATATACATATATACATATTGTAGTGGAGTCTTACCTTTCTCTTGATTCCCACTGGGATATATATAAATCATGGGATAAAAGCTAATCGATAAAGTTTTGTGGTGTACATCACATTAGAACTATAGGAAATATGAAAACTAAAAGTTTGTGGTGTATATCATGGAATTTAGGGTTTTGTCCCCACCAAATCCGTTTGGTAGGACCAGAAAATAAAAAAATTTAATAAAGATTTGCAATCGGAAGAATGACTTGGAAAATATGGAAAATCCTGCTGATGTGGATTTGTTCTCCAAGATCCAAGCACCTCCAACAAACGACAAATTTAATCGCTGATGAAAAATATATGTAAACTGAGAGAGAGAGAGACGACAAATTTAATCGCTGATGAAAAATATATGTAAACTGAGAGAGAGAGAGAGAGAGAGAGAGAGAGAGAGTCTTGTGTTGGGTTATAGGGATTTATATGAGAAAAGTGCTTATGTATTGTATACAGTTGGCATGGCTTCGTGATTCTTCTTATTCCTCTCTCTCTCTCTCTCTCTCCTCCAGATTTTCTTTCTGGCTTCTGTATACCTTTTCCAGATCAGGATTGGATAATGAACAGTTGTAGAGCACAAATCAGAATCATTCTAGACTTGAATTACAAGACAATTAGCTTAGAGATCAAGAACGATTAATAGCTAAATTAAAAGGATTCTAGAAGATATCAAAATCAATTTAATTTAAGTTATACAAGTGCTGG